CTAGATATGACCATAAATTTATTGTAAAAAATTGACCTGACCCTTAACAATAATCTAAATTCTGAGGCAACATTAATGATTGAAGGTTCCATCTCGATTGAATTAGATGAAGATTTAAATGATGAATAATTAAAACACATGTGGCTATAATAATTGGCCGTGCGAGAAATAATTCTTTTTTTAAAAAAATTTCAAATTATCTATCACCTCAGTCTCAGAATATTTTTTCAATTTTATTTTTTACAATTAAAAATGATAAGCTTTGGAAATTGATTAAATGAAATTTATATTAGATATTCATATAAAAATAATTTCATTAAATTTGTTAAAGAGTATCCCACATCGAAATTTGTAAAGAAAACAAATCGATATATAAATTTTTGAGTTGAACTAAACGATCGTTTTGATTCAATCTTGTAATGTAGTTCAATCCAAGTGTATTATGACCTAATCTAGTGATCCCTATCTCATTCTGACTTTTATCATGGTATTGGAGCTGGTTTTAGCTCACATCCTGTGTTAAGGTGCCCTAGATTTTCATTTCTTAAGCCCTAGCCTTTAACCCAATTGTCCGTGTCAAATATATATCCAATAGCCTGTGACTTGTTTAGCCTGATTGTTCGTTTGAAAGTCCATATCTAACGGCTCGTGGTCTTTTAGACGTTGGCGCAATAGGAGTCTATTTGTAAGTGATCAACCAATTAGATACAAAATGACTTAGTTATCCAACTGGGGAATGTTAAGAGTATCTCACATCGGAGCTTGTAGAAAAAATAAATCGGTATATAAGTTTATGAGTTGAACTAAGTAATTAGTTGTATTCAATCTGTAAGGATCTGTTTGGTACATGGAATTTAAACTATGGAATTGATATTAAAGACAAGAATTCTAATTTTATTGTTTGGTGACACAAAAATATGTGAATTTAGAATTGATAGTGTCAAAAATAAATTTGAATTGAAGATTTCAACTTTATTCAAATCAATTTTATACAATTTTAACGCAATTCTGTGAACCAAAGAGACCTTAAATATATTTCAACCTAAATGTGTTTTGACAAAACCGAATGATCTTTACTCATTCTAAATCATATCAAAATTATTTATGTTAGAAACCTTGTGTCATTCATGGTCGAGTGTCAGAGATCAAGAAAACCATCATCTCCATTATCCGTAAGAAGGGCCGAACCACATGTTTGGATATACTACTCGGTGCAAGTAGACCTAATCCAAGTCTGGATTACCGGTCCGACGGTAAAAAAGCCTGCCGTCAGAAAAGGAGTTTGATATTGACCCCGTTCTTAAAAACTAAAAAACTACTCTATAGAAAAAAAGAGTTATATATTACACGAAATTGCATGGAACTGAAAAAAACTGAAAGAAACTGGAATAACTAGAAGAAAATGGAAAAAATTGGAAAAACTTCAAAAAACTTTTAAAAATATTATTTTAATGTATTGTTATATTATTCTCATTCAAATAAATTTTTTTCTAGACCTATATCTACACGTTTAAACATTTGATTAAAACAACTCTTTGGCATGACATTAGACTTTTACTAAGCTAATAAAACATACATTTTCTCAATGATTTCTTATGTTATGGTCATAGAGTGGACACATGAAATGTGAGTTTTTTTATATATTTCCAATGAACTCATAATTAGATCTCGTTTACTTTAGACGACTCAATACATATTATCATTTTATTTATTAAGGTTCATATATTGAGTATGAACCTAATACCAACAAATAATTTGTCTTTCTCGCCATATAGCCATAAATTTGGTTGAGTTGGTCTTTAATTAAAAATAGTGTATATAGTATGCATGTGATGGAAGGAGTTTGTTAGAATATAAATGTTTAATAAAATGCAATTACATGTTTGAGATTTTGATTAAATGTATTCTTTGACATTATATCGTCTAAAATTATTTATATACGTACAAAGACCACGGTTCAAATATGCAACACCACTTAATTTTTTAAAACTAATGTTCACATACAATTTTTGAAACGAAAACAAAAATATCACATCCTCGTCTAAATGCGATATCCGATAATTGTGTTAGAATATATATAAGATCTTTGTTAACCTAGACTACTATATGAAGTATATACAAGTTTTGAGTTTTTTTTAAGTCCGTATTCAGTTACCTGCATTTAAAGTTTTAAATCCAAATGTGCTAATGTATTACTCTATGCATGGTGATGGGTATATCTTTATACCCGACCCGTATAACCAAAAGAGACAGGTCAAAGTATGACCGGTCACTTCCATCAATCACCAAATGAGGTTAATCTTCAATTGGGACGGGTCAAAAGTTGACCGGTCACTTCCACTAAAAAGTGACCGGTCACATTTTGGGCGATAGCCAAAATGTCACCTAATGTTGCGAAGAATTCAAGAAGACCAAAGATCAAGAAGAATTCAAGTGACGGGTTGAGGTCAAGAAATGACCGGTCAACCTTTGAGAAAAGGTGACCGGTCATATCATCTTACTTGGCAAACATTTGGTCCAGTCTCTCTTGCATGGTGAATCACACCAAAGATCGAGGAACCACCCCGCCATTCGGCCATCACGAAACAAACAGTGAAAGAGATGTTTGTCACCTTGCAGGGCTGATTGGATTGAGAATATCCATTTATAGTCTTTGATTGAACAGTGTCTTGGCTTGTAGCTATTAAAATCAATGATTGTACAGTGTTCCCATTAACTACAGTGACCTTCCCGCGGGCTTCCTATTTTGTCCATGGATGAACAGGGGAAGGTCACAAATCCTCCTCTATAAATATGATGATATTTGATAGAGGAGGGGGGGGGGGCATTCTTTATCTCACTAAAAATAGTACACTCTTGAGACAGAGTAAGAAATATATTTCAGACTGAGGAGATTTACCCGGTATAGGTCATACTTTGTGTTCTTGTGTGTGTTTTATATTACGGGTCGAGTGTGTCCAGGTCAAATCCGATCAACCCACCCAGCTATATTTACACCATCACATGGTATTACACAAAAAGTTAGGAGACACCAAAATTTTTATATCATTTTGACTCTAAATATTACTCGTATATAGAAACACATAACACACAAGTTTTTTTGGTAGTACTTCTTCTATCTATTTTTTCATACTCCGAAGTATAATATTCACATTGTCAAATTTAATACACTTTTCATGTTTAGTTTATTTTTGCTATTCATTTTATAAAAATAGTATAATTTTCTCATATACTCTCTTCGTCCTGGAGTATTTGTATATTTTTGACTTTTTTCAGTTAAAATTAGTAAACTTTATCCAAGTTAAATAAAAATAATATTATATATTGATACAAAATAGTTTCATAAGATTTATTATATAAAATATTTTCAAAATAACATTTTATCTAATTAATATACAATATATACGATTGAAATTTTGTAACTAGTCATGAAAAGATGTATGGAGTATAGAGGGTGGGATTATTATTCTAGAATGCAAGGCATTTTTGGACAATTGGGCATGGGTGGTTGTTCGTTGGGTTACTTTAAATTCGAGTAGTTCTACAGTTGTGACCCGACGGGGTCACACACGTGGGTTTTACACTTGTAACGTGTCTTTTTATTTATTTGAACCATTAGTCAGACTCACCAAAGTTTGAAGTCCAACATACCGAGTAACACATTTTTTTTATTATTTGTCCTGACACAATATGGCTTGATAAAGGGATGAGCCCATGCTCTAGAGTCTCTTCAAATCTGACCGGATGATTATTGAAAAAGAGGTTAATTGAATTTTCATTACAAATTGATAGCAGAAAGTTGAGCCTGCATCAGATAGTTGCAGAGACCCTATATTTACCATAATTATCACTTAATAAAGTTGTCAGAAATCGAACTCAAATTTATCCCTTTAACACTCTCTGTCTTTGTCAACTGTGCAACGCCCACCCGATACAATAAGGCGTTGTAGTTTTGAAAACAAATAGATAAAGCTGAAAAACTTACATTATTTCAAAATGAATATATTTCGAAATGCATGTTATGTTGTTTTAGAACGAATACTATGTTGAGTGGTCTTTAGAAAGAACACTACAATTAAAAATAAACATTTAATTGATTCAAAATGAATATTCGTCGAGTGTTTCTAGCTATACGCACAAATGGATGTAAGGTATACATTTACAAGGACCTTATGCTATTAGAATAACTTCCCAACTGCATATTATATGATACTCCGTACAATGTGTTGAGGAAATTAATGAAAATGTGGATGAATCGAGAGCCGTGTAGAACACTTTCAGATTGAATATTTTGGTTGTTCAATGCAAAACTCAATCGGATAAAACTCGAAAGTATCAAGAACGAAATATGGAATGCTATGAAAAATCTGAACGCCTTCCGACCATGGACTTGCGGGAATTTAAGGAGTTGTGGTGAGAAGAGGAGACGCGATCGCGTCTCTTATCCAAGACACGCGATCCTTCGCGCAGAACTTTTCAAAAATCGGCGATATCCTTTAGGGAATTTTCTTTTTAAAGAAAATTCGAAAAATAAAAATTCAATTGAATTTTTTAATATAGCACTTTGTCCAAAATAAAAAATTTTTGAGCTGACCCCAGCCAGGGGCTCTGCCCATTGGACCCCGCAGGGGCTGCCGTCCCGTGAACCCTGCTCGGAGGCGCTGTCCCATTGGAACCCCCGATAAAACGAGATTTTTATCGTAACAAACTCAATGAACCGTGCACTCCGCAACACCAAACATCTTTGATGATTATTAAGATATCATTAGTTATAATTTTTCCAATTACACTAAAATATATAACACAATGGATCTACCATATATTCAGAATGAATACCACATTATTTTATAAATGAAGACTTACTTGTTTTTAAAATGAACACACTACACTGAGCATGTTTGAAATAAATTTTACATTATTTTAGAATGAATATTAAGTTGATTTAAAATAAATATTTATGCTGTATGTATAGACTCTCATCCCGAACTTAATACTCCACGGAGTATAATTGGGCGAAGTAATAAATTCTCACTGCACTCGGCAGTTATCAATCAATCAAAGGTGGCACTTCACGGTTTTCACACTGGAAATCAAATTTGCCGCCATTATTGTTTCTATGGGCAACCACTTCATTAATGGCGTCCGAGAGAAAAGAAAATGGAAAAGTAATTCCAGAAAAAGGAAATTCAAGGTTAACTGTTCCCAGTACGGGTGCTTTGATCCTGTCTCTTGGATCGATGGAGTGCAATAACTCGTCAGCTGGAAGTGCCTACAATCTGTTTGATGAAATGCCATTGAATGTTTATGCAGGTTAGATGCTGAAAAAAGGGGCAACTTTTGTAATAAAATTTCCCGTTTGATTTTTTATATTTACCTTTTTATTCCGCCGAAACTATTTTTAGCTAGGAAACACTTACTGTAGTTTCACTTTGTGTCATTTTCTTGTTAGATTTGGGAGTAATTGCAGATAAATGTGCTTTCCGTGTAGTGATGGGGATGATAATGTTGACAAGCTAGTGTATAACGACACACCGCATGGATATTTGGTGAAGTATTGAATGCGCCCAACTGTTGACTTGGCTAGTTGATATAAAAAAATGGACATTTTCTTCATATATTCTCTGGGCATGCCCTGAACCCGGAATATTTTCACTTTGTCATGTTCTGGTTCCTGAAGCTCTAATGGAGTTTAGTGCTTCTGGTTCAAGAAGTGGAAGCTTCAGAACAAACAGTTCATCTGTTTGGAGAGCCAATGGGAAGGATGCTTTTGTGCGGTCGTCGAGGAAGGAAGATGATGAGGTGGCGCTTATGTGGGCTGCCCTTCAGAGAGTTCCGACCTTCGACCGCCTGAAAAAGGGGCTGATACCTGGCTTAAGAGGTGGGATGAGTGAAGTTGATATAAAGAACATTGGTTGCGAAGAAAAGAAGAAAATCATCGAGAGGTTAATTAGAGTCCCAGAAAGAGATAATGAGAAGTTCTTATTGAAACTTAAGGATCGCATCGACAGGTATGTTTGGAAACAGACAACATAAAATCACAGTTTAAGGACAGAGTATATTGTGTCATGTTTTTTTTAGATGTTTTTTACTCTTGTTATGATGTTCTATGACTTATGTATGCACTTGAATTCTCCAGGGTTGCCATTGATATCCCAACAGTCGAGGTCAGATTTGAGCATTTGAATGTTGGTGCAAATGCTTATGTGGGAAAGAGAGCTTTGCCTTCTATCACAAACCTTACCTTAAACATACTTGAGGTAACTCGTGTTCGTATCTTCTTGTCATCTGGAAGCTTGTCAATCATTTGTCTTGTGTTTTATACATTGATGTCCTTCCAAACAGGGGCTATTGAGCTATCTATACGTGCCTACAAACAAGAAGCATGTTTCTATTCTTCACGATGTTAGTGGAATCATCAAGCCTGGCAGGTATTGGTCATTTTGTTGCTTGTTTGAGTTCATGGGTGTGGGGCGGGCGAGAGATCCGGCCCAAGACCCATCCAAGTTCGTTAAATAAAAACTATACACGTAAACATGCTAACTATAAAAACAATATAGATTTTCTTTTTGTTCCAAGTACTATATGTGAAATCATCTTTTTGTATTCATCTCAAAAATTGGCCAAATAGCACTAGTATTCCCTGTGGTTTGGAAAATAAGCATCAATACCCCCTGTATTCAAAACCTCTTTCTAAAGTCCCCGTGGTTTCAAAACGTTGCACTCATACCCCCTCAGACCATTTTTTGGCCATTTTTCCAGCAAAGAAGGGAGCATTGGTGTATATTTTCCAAACTATAGGGGCACTGGTGTTTATTTCTTATTTTTCATTTGGTTTTTGTTTTTCCCCTTTTTTCCTTTATTTGTTTTTTTCTGAAGCAAGGTTTTTTAAATTTCATAGTTTTATAATGTTCTTAAAATTTAAAATTGTTTTTGTTTGAAAACGTCTCAAATAAAAAAATTTTATTTTTTGTTTTCCGAAATAAAACAGTAATTTTTTTGAGAGCTTAAAAAACGAGGAATAAAAAAAGAAATAAAATAAAAAATAAAAATGAATATTCTTTTTGGAAATCCCAATTCTAAGGACTTTTTTAGGCGTTCTGAAAATTCCTTTTTGCATAAGACACTTTTTTGTATGTTTCAATTCTTTTCATTTCATTTTTCCATATTTTTATTTTCTTATTCTAGATTTTCTTTTTGAACTTACCAAAAAATTATTCTAGAAAACCAAAAGTGAAATTTTTTAAATTTGAGATAGATGGAGTATATGTTATTGTTTTTATTTTTATTTCAAACACAAAGAATTTTAAATTTTTAAAAAAATTATAAAAAATTGAAAAGAAATTTTAAAAAAACTTTTCTAGGAAAAAGAAACAAAGAGATAAGAAAAGAGTTAAAAAAGGAAAAAAACCCAATAATAAACGAAAAATAAGAAATGAGCACGAGTGCTTCCTATGGTTTAGAAAATAGGCACCAAGGCCCCCTTTTCGCCGGAAAATGACTGGAAAATGATCAGACGAGGGTGTGGGCGCAATGTTTTGAAACTACGGGGACTTTAGAAATAAGTTTTGAAAACATAGGGGGTATTGGTGCCAATTTTTCAAAGCAAAGGGGCACTTAGCCCTCAATAATTTATTTTTTTTTTCCTTTTTTGGACCCTATATATCTACCTCCGTAGGAAACTAGTATTTGCAGAACTGGCCATTTCTGATGTGGCTATCAGAACTGGCCATTACATGGAGGATGGCAGATAGGGACTCAAAAGAAAATTGCATAAATTACAGGTATAAATAACAAACAAATAATTTCATAGGAATCTAAATCACAAACCGCTGTATAGCCTGTATCTGGTGAGTCCTGGAACCTACCTTATCTGAGCTGGTAATACTGCTATTTACCTATTGGATGGATTGCAGAATGACATTGCTCCTAGGGCCTCCAAGTTCAGGGAAGACCACTCTGTTGTTGGCATTGGCAGGGCAACTTGATCCTGGTTTGGAAGTAAAAACAACTAGCACATTGCTACTTATTTTTATCGTGTTCCCTGCAAATTTCTGGATTACTACCTATCGACAATAATACATTCTTTAATTTTGATTGAAGTTTTCTGGAAGAGTCTCTTACAATGGGCATGAAATGAATGAATTTGTTCCCATGAGAACCGCTGCCTACATCAGCCAGCATGACGTCCATATTCCAGAAATGACTGCCCGAGAAACCTTAGCATTTTCTGCAAGATGCCAAGGCGTTGGCTCCAGACACGGTTAGCATGAGTTGCTGTTTTGTATTGCTTGTGATTTGTTCTTTTTAAGGACCTGTTTGGAATGCGGAATGTGCCAGTGAAAGGAAATATGAAGGAAAGTATAGGGATTTTTTTATAAAGAAAAACAATTTATATGGGGAAGATAAATCAGTTGTTCAAACTCTCTCTCTCTCTCTCTCCACACACACACACACACACACCAAAGTATAATATGTGTCAAACTCATTTTATTTTAGGAGTATTAGTTTTATTATAAACAGACATGTAAAAAAACTTAAAAGTTAAATCATATTGCTTTTTTCTCTGCCGTTTCCAATGTAAAACTAAACTTTATGTTGACTCCAAAGAAGGCTCAATTTCTGTGGAATTTGGAAATCATTTCTCTTTTACTCCAATTTTCTCGAGCAACCAAACACCGGAAAAATGAGAAAATGACTTCCGGAAGTCATTTTCCCTCTTCCCAAACGGACCTTAAGTGTTGAATGTGGCTCAAGGGGTCTTCGAGCAGAGTCACAAATGAAGAATGTTGGGTGAGAAAGGGTGTTCTTGATGAATGAAAAATCAAACCAGCTCAAATTTGGAATCAAAGATTTACTACTGTTGACTTGGATCAATCTTTTTTTCGAGGGAGGTGTTGGTGTGGTGTACTGGTGTACTCACAAATGTTATCAACTTTATATACTCACAAATGTTATCAACTAAAATGGAGCAAGGGTAAATTTTCTTTGGAATTTCCTCCTTTCCTTTAGCAATTTCTGAGATCGAAACAAACCCTTAAAGATTAACCATATTCTATATTTCTATAATATTGCTCACACTGATCTTTGGTGCTCAACGCTGCTTTGGTACAGAAATTTTAGCTGAGTTATCTAGAAGAGAGAAAGCGGCAAATATTATGCCTGATCCTGATTTGGACATTTTTATGAAGGTGGCAAAGAAAGTTACCTTAATTCTTTATTTTGTTATCTTTATTTCTTTTCATTCTTTATTAGATGTGTAAATACATCATTTTTTTGTTATCCCCCCACCCACATAGGCACATACCCAAACAAAAAATGAAAATACAACAAACCTAGGATTATCCGGCTTAGGTGGTCATGATGTATGCAACATTGCTCCCGTAATACTTTTTCCCTAAAACCCTTGGATACATTGATGATGTAATGAAATCCAACAACTTTTCTTCATCTAGGATAAGTTCTAATAAGTTGTTTATAGAGCATTTCATATACTCTGTACTTGTTAATATTATTCTACATCCAGGGTGCCTTGTCTAGTGTGTTATTTTTATGCTCAGACACGTGACAAGATTTATCTAGTCATTAAGGGTCTGCGCAGAGCTAAGGAATAGTGCAAAAAATAGAGGTGATTTGGAAGTAATAAAAATGTGAGAAATAACAAAAATTGCTTCAAACTCAATAGATCAATTTTAGATAGTTGATCAAACTCGCTTTATTTATATATTTCTACTATGTAAAGATTAAGAAATCTATATAGGAGCATATTTTTAAAAAGTTTTAATCAGGTTTTATTTTCATTTGTATTTTCCAAGTTCACACCAAACAAACAGTTATTTTCCATATCTTTTTTTCCGGTCTTAATTTCTGCATTCCAAACATAGCTTAATTTTTTTTTGGTGTCTTTGCTTCAGGCTGCTGCAACCGATGGTCAAGAAGCAAATGTGGTTGTAGACTACATCATCAAGGTAGCTACCATATTTCTATTTGTTAATTAATTCATGTCTATAAACTCCTTAATTATCTTAAACAGTACTAATTTGGGTTCTTAGATTTTGGGACTTGAAGGATGTGAGGATACAATCGTTGGAAATGAATTGTTAAGGGGTATGTCAGGGGGAGAGAGAAAGCGGCTTACTGCAGGTGTGCTAACTATTTTCCTTGTTAAATTTGTATTTGAATTTGATCCTTCGATTATACAGTATTACTCAATTTGGTCACGGGCTTTCTTTTGGACTCTATTTGATCTTCTTTATAGAATAAAAAAATTCAATTTGATAAATGGCTATGTAATTTAGACTCAATTTAGTCATTATACATATTATTCTCTACCATAAGAAGTAGATATCCTACGCTAAGGATTAAATGGAGTGTTGGGGCCATGGGCCAATTTGAATCTTAAATTAAGCCTAGTTCTAGTGAACAGACAAAAATTCCTTTCTTATTTAGAACCAAATGTATATGAAGACTATATTAGGTTCATATTCCGTACTCGATTACCAAATTGAACTATAGTGTATACTGTATAGTCAAAGAGATAAATTGCATTTAAACTCATTTTAAATTATTTTTATCCAATGCTGAGGAATTCTAACAAGCTCAATGAACAAATTATAGGCGAAATGCTTGTAGGACCGGCAAATGTTTTGTTGATTGATGAAGTGTCAACTGGTTTAGACAGTTCAACCACATTCCAAATCATAAAATCCATCAAACACTATGTACACACTCTTTGTGGCACTGCTGTGATTTCTCTTCTTCAGCCAGCACCAGAATGTTATGATCTGTTTGACGATATAATTCTCATATCCGAAGGCCAGATCGTTTATCATGGTCCACGTGACAACGTGCTTGATTTTTTTGAATCCATGGGCTTCAGATGTCCAGAAAGAAAAGGAGTAGCTGACTTCTTGCAAGAAGTAAGTGAAAACACCTTTGTCTGATATTGAGGCTGTACGGTAAGGCTTAGAGTGTCCAAGATGGCTGAATCTGATGACATTGTGGCTCAAAAAGCTGAATTAGCTTAATTGTTTAAAAAAGTGTTAGTATTTTGTATAAATAAATGAACCTAAAAATAGCCAATTAAGCTGAATCAGCCATTTCAACCCAAAAAGTAGCTTGTTCATTACCTTTTGTTTTCATTATGAGCCAATTCAGTGAGCACAATGACGTAAATGTATAGTGAATTAATGTGAAACTAAAAATAACTGAAACAACTGCACTGAGCCTAATGCGCTTTGACTTCAGGTAACATCAAGGAAAGATCAAATGCAGTATTGGGTGCATAAGGACAAGCCTTACAGATTTGTAACAGTCAAGGAATTTTCTGAGGCATTTCAGTCTTTTCACATTGGCCGCAACTTAGGAGATGAGCTTGCTACCCCTTTTCAAAAGGCTAGAAGTCACCCAGCTGCCTTAACTACCAAAAGATATGGTGTTAGTAAGATGGAGCTCTTAAAATCTTGCTTTTCCAGAGAAGTTCTGCTGATGAAGAGAAACAGTGCTCTTCATATATTTGGGTTTACATGGGTACTTTCTCTGGGTTATTCTTGTCCTGTGTGTTTTTCCTTGAGTAGTTGAATGGCTATGTTTCGCATTAACTTCAGAGTTTAGCTTCAACGTATTGAAAATGCTACCCAACGGCAACTTTTAGCGTTAGCGTTTTGTACGTTAATCTGCACCATTAAAAATTATCCAAAACACTAACACTATCACAAATGCTATTACCAATTGATGCCGATATGGTTTTAAGTCTTGCAGGTTTATGGAATAATTTAAGGACATCAAAGATATGATATGCATCTATCCAGGATGATCAAAATTCAAAACTTGGAATATTGGACTTGAATGATTGAAACTATCAATCCAAGACTTTAACTCATGAATTTTGATTCTTGTTTATTTTAATTATCTTTAGTTACTTCTTACTAAATCAAATATATAACCTGCAAAGGTCTTTTTCATTCAAAATTAACTTAAAAATGAAACCAGTTCATATTCATGTTTTCTTGTGACACTCTCAATCATCATTTGCCGTATTGACACTCTTATGGGTCCTTGAATAACTAACCTATCTTTTGGGCCCTGAGTTGATAATAACTCCTTTAATTATTTGTTACAATTCTTTTAGGTGATACTTTTGGCACTGATTACAATGACGCTTTTCATAAGGACCAATATGGACCGAAGCTCACCAATAGGTGCTCAGATTTACCTGGGCTCCCTCTTCTGGACTCTTACAATCTTCCTGTTTAGCGCATTACAGGAGTTAGCTCCAACAATTTTTCGCCTTCCAGTTTTTTACAAGCAAAGGGATCTTTTATTCTATCCAGCGTGGGCCTATGCTATACCTACATGGATCCTGAGGCTACCATTATCTTTCATAGAAGTTTCTGCCTGGGTGTTCTCTGCATACTATGTCATTGGTTATGATCCAGATGTTGGAAGGTAGCTAACCATGATGGAATTAAAAAGAATTCCAGAGACTTTTTTTGACATATTTTTAGTGATATTCTTATGTTACACAATTAACCATAGTAATTACGCTCCTTCCGTGCTCTTTTAAGTGTTGCTTTAGAATTTTGTTTTTTGTTCTCACGCAACTGTCACTTAGAATATCAAGAGAGCCTTAATTGATCATTTTCCACATCTACTCTTCTCCGCCCATAAATATTGCACAGTACTGCAAAACATGGGTATGGATAATCTAGTCAAAATTATTGCTTTCTTAGTACATGTATAATCACCTAAAATGATATTTAATGTGAACAAAGAGAGTATTAAATACTGGATTTTACTCAAAAAGGTGAAATCCACACAATACGGGACACATAGGAATGTCACTCTAGATTAGTCAAGAATGATAAAAAATTATGTCTCCCTCGCTCTCAAATTCAATGGAATAACCATTTCTCTTTATGAATGCAGGTTATTCAAACAATGGGTTTTACTCATAATTTATAGGCAACTATCCTCTGTGTTATTTAGATGTGCTGGGGTAATAGGTAGGAGTATGACCAATGCGTTTGTAGTTGGTTCATTCCTAATGCTTATGCTCTTTGCCTTGGGTGGTTTCATCTTGTCACGAGGTATTGCTGCTAAAATGTTTCAAAAAAAAATACGGAGTAATATTGTTTATTCACTCTTTTGGATGTTTATTCATTGGCTTTGTCAGAGCAAGTGAAGAAATGGTGGCTCTGGGGTTATTGGATTTCACCATTGATGTATGCTCAAAATGCTATCGCCGTAAATGAATTCCTTGGAAAAAGTTGGAATACTGTGAGCATTTGTCTTCTCCTTTAGTTAAGTTTAGGCTGTAGGCACTGCTTTATTGCTGGAAATATTTCCTCGAAAATGTTTTCCTTAATTGTTTTAAGTGCAATATAAGTTTGACAAGCGAAACAAGCAAAAAGGTCACTTCGTCAAGGGTCTGATATGAACATGCATGTAAAATAATAGGGAAATAAATTAGGAGTGATGATATAAAAGATAATTGTGGAGGAAAGAGAATTGGAGAGGGGGGGGGGGATGCCCTCAAACTCACTACATTTATTTTAGATATTTTCAAAACTCATTTTATTTATTTATTTATTTTTAAAATGTACTCTGTAGTACGTAGTATATAAAGACTATGAAATTTAAGAATATTTAACTTCTTAAAGTTAATTATATTTCATTTTCTAAAGTTAATCCAAACATAAGAAAATAATTTTCTTTGGCATTTTCCCTTCTTAACAACTCATGGGGCGCAAACATACCCCAAAGTCCAAATAATCAAGAAAAATATTTTCCCTGTTGTCTGTTTCCAAACACAGGAAAATTTGGAGAAAATTTCCCTTAAAAGGATTTTCCTGGAAACAAGCGGAACATTAGTTTTTTTAAATTCATCTATTTTGGTTTTCTTGTATGTTTGCAAGTCTTTTTCTATGAGAGTAACTTACACTTTACATTAAATGAATTAAAGGTCCTTCCATTTTCATCAGAACCATTTGGTGTACTAGTACTGAAGTATCGCGGGCTTTACCCAGAGGCGCATTGGTACTGGCTTGGAGTAGGGGCATTGCTTGGATTCTCAGTTGTTGCAATCTTCGTTTATATTCTTTCTTTGACAAAGCTAAGACGTATAATATCTCTACCTCTCTTAACAAACATAATCTTAGTTATTAATATTAGGCTCCATTTGTTGGCCATACTTGGTTTACTCCGTCTATTGGCAAAATAAAATGACTGAAATAGTGAAATGGTTCAATTTACTGCATTTTCTAAAAGGAAAACACATTGCTAACATCCATTTAAGCCGAATAAGGAAGTCAAATGATGTGATTATGATGCTGAGAAGTAGAACGAGCCAAATCAGGGCTAGAAATGGAATCTTAGTTGGCTGAAATGAATGTTACCAAATTCTTATCAATTCAGAAAATTCATTAGATACTGCCATTTTGGTCAAATAACCTTTACCAAACAAGCTCTTAGTATTGATAATATATATATATATATATATATATATATATATATATATATATATATATATATATATATATATATAATATACTCCGTATTTTGCAGCACTAGCACAGCTCCAGGCTATTGTCCCAGCAGAATCACATTCCAATGAGCATGATATAAGTAATGGAGGATCCTCTAAGGTCAAGACTGGGACTGGTAACATAACTTGTGGGATGATCCTTCCATTTGAGCCACATTCCATTGTGTTCAATGAAATTAAGTATTCTGTGGACATGCCACAGGTAATAATGTTACTGACACCGTTGCTTCATATATTCTGTTATTTTGTTCATCACTGAAAAAATCCTTGCCTAGCACGACTATGCAGTAAATGGTAGGAAAAAGAAAAAATGCTAATGGAAATAGTCTTCTTTAGAACTTTTTGAAGTTTGATTTGGAATTTTACATATATTTATTCGGAATATATCTTATCTTTTTTTACAAAATAGTACTCCCTCCGTTCCAAAAAGGCTCCCAGTTTGACTTGGCACAAAGTTCAAGGAAAGTGAAAATGTGTGGTTGAAAGTGATGCAGAGGAGAGAAAGATTGTGAGCCACTAAAAGTTTTCTATAAAAGGAAAAAAAGAGTCTTTTTTGGGACATCCCAGAGAAGAAATTAGAAGTTCTTTTTTTTTTGACGGAGGGAGTAATATATAAACAAAATGGGTTTGAAAAAATATCTAAAATTCATTTATTTGCTTATGAACCAATTTTTTATTTTCCAAAAAATTCTCTTTCCAAATATCCCCCTCTATTTTCTTTCCCTTGCATATTCAAAGTTCCAAACGGATCCTCAATCTCCATCGGGTCCTTCGGCCTACTTAGAACTTTTGTAATCCCAATAAATCCTTAAATGAGCACCACCTAACCCACATCTTGCAGCCTAGAGTTTTTTTGGGAAGAATAACATTTTTCAAAATTTGAAGTTGAAGAAATAAAATATTAAGGGTATGTTTGGAACTCAGATTATACTATGTAAATAAAATAGGAGAAACATAGAGGAGGAAAGAATTTGGGAGAAAATAAATGAAAAGCTCAAAATTAGTTGAACTACTTTAGATATTTGTTCAAACTCATTTTATTTATTTCTGTTTTATCATATGAAGGCTATGTATCATGTATGTGAACTTGTAAAAAAAACATTGATTTCATTTTTATTGCAGTTTCAAGCTAAAACCATATATAAGAACATAACTTTTCTTAGCATCTGTTTTCCTATCTAGCATATCATGGGATCCAAACATTCCCTAAGCTATTTTGTATTTAAATTTTATTGAATCTGCAGGAGATGAAGATTGAGGGAGTCCTGGATGGTCGTCTTGAGCTTTTGAAAGGTGTTAGCGGGGCATTTAGGCCAGGTGTTCTGACAGCGCTCATGGGCGTTAGTGGTGCAGGTAAAACCACACTGATGGATGTCCTTGCTGGTAGGAAAACTGGTGGGTATATTGAAGGGGACATTAGATTATCTGGCTTTCCAAAGAAGCAGGAAACATTTGCCCGCATTTCTGGATACTGCGAGCAAAACGACATCCACTCTCCTCACCTTACAGTATACGAGTCCTTGACCTTTTCAGCTTGGCTCCGCTTACCATCAGGAATCACTTCAGAAGCTAGAAATGTAAGTATAAAATATTATGACATGCGAGTGCTGGGAATTGTTGAAGTTAGAATAGCTTCTTTGACTTCTTATTTTAGTCAGGTCACTAGGGGTCCTTTTGGAACTTGTAAACCAGGGCAAGGAAGATAGAAAAGAAAACTGGAATGAAATAAGATTTGGAAGAAAAATAATGATCAGCTCAAACATAATAAAATTAGCTCAGATTATGTTCAAACTCATTTTATTTATTTATTTCTATTATACTCCGTATAATACTATGAAATTTAAATATATATAAAATTTTTAAACAAGTAATTTTCTTTGCATTCTCCAAGGTAATATAACAAACGTAAGAAAATAACTTTTCTTTGGTTTTGTTTATTTTTCCTAGCATTTTCTAGGGTCCAAAAATACAATTGAGATTTCATTAGTGTTTCTTTCCTATGTATTTAACTAATGAAAAAAATGCTACCACATAGGTTACCCTCACCTTATGAAATGGTCATTGGCCCATATTACCGTGCACTAATGGAGTATTTTTTTCAAGGGTTGTGTAACCATGTGATAGGACTGTTTAGGGATGATAGCTGTTCCTTAAAGGGAAAATATCTATTCCAGTCCCTCAATTGTTTTTATTATGCAATGTAAGTCGGTTTGGTACTACTAAGCCCCTCACACCCTAATGGTAACATTAGTATTGAGAAGAAAAAAAAGAAAAGGATGCACTGCATGCTTATCTGAAACTGAAAAAGGGTACGAAGTTGAATCACTTGAATGACTCCTTAGCTACGATGTGAGGGATTCAATCAACAACTTTTTAAATAATTGAGGTAATGAATAGCGTGAAATTGATAGCGAGGACTGCATTGCATAAATTAGGGACCAAAATAGTGAAACCACATTCATGTTATTTCTTTCTGTTGTAAATGTTAATAGTTGTTCATCAAGGAAGTCATGCAATTAGTTGAGCTTGACTCTTTGAAAGACGCATTGGTTGGTTTACCCGGGGTGAATGGTCTATCAACTGGACAACGTAAAAGGCTGACCATAGCAGTTGAATTGGTGGCTAATCCTTCACTAATATTTATGGACGAGCCAACATCTGGTCTTGATGCAAGGGCTGCTGCAATAGTAATGAGGACAGTTCGGAATATTGTTGACACTGGTAGAACAATTGTTTGCACAATCCACCAGCCAAGCATTGACATATTTGAAGCTTTTGATGAGGTAATTACCCCCCAAACCTTCGATCAAATTTTATTATTGTTGTTGTTGTTATTTGTGATGAAGGGAGAAACCTTCTCAACTTGCCTTTTCTTCATACAATCTATACATAGTAAAACTTTAGTAATTGATTGATGCAGTTGCTCCTAATGACACTAGGAGGACAAGAAATTTATCTTGGACCACTAGGACACCATTCTTGCCATTTAATAAATTACTTTGAGGTAAGTTCCCTTTCACTTTTGTTTTGTTTTTAGTTAAGAAATATTAGCTTAAGAGCTTATTCATATGGAGAACTTTTGTTTTGATTCCTTCTACATTTTCTTATTCATCCAGAATATTGAAGGCATTGAAAAAATAAAAAATGGCTACAATCCTGCCACCTGGGTGCTGGAGAATACAACACGAGAAAAAGAGGAGGCTCTCGGTATAAATTTCAATGAGATCTACAGAAAATCTGAATTGTACCAGTAAGTTGCACTTTTTTTATAGCAGTAAGTTGCACATACTTTAATTCAAAATGTATTATTAATTTAATATGCCATTCTTAAAAGAGTTCCCGTTAACTAAATACATGACTAAGCTGCATTCACATATTTATTACGCATTCGCTTGTTATTTTAATACTTATAAATCAGAAAGGGATGTTTTAAGAAGTTTTAGATATTTAATTTTTCAATAAATAAGTTTTAAATATTTGTTCAAACTTAGTGTATCTATTAAATAATGTAAGATGTTTTTTATTAGGGATTTTTTGAAGTTAAAATCAAGCAAAAAAAATAATCTCTCAGCATCCCCCCTCCCTACCATTTTCTGCATTCAACATGGTTTGTTAAGTTATGAAAAAATTAATCATCACCTTAAGAACCACAATCTTTTCTTAATGGTTGGTTATTTGAAGACAAGAGGGATTTGGGAAGTAACTTTCATTTCACACTTTTATGGCTTGATTAAGTCATGTTTTGAATGCGGAAAATGGTAGGGTAAGGAGATGATTATTATTTTATGCTTGGTTTTAACTTCAAAAGATATGAAGGCAAATTTGAAATAACACTTCTTACATTATTTTATATGTTTAGTCTTTATATAGTAGAAAAATATAAATACAATGAGTTTGAAAAAAAATTGAAATTGATTTGTTGAGTTTGAATCCATTTTTTAGGTTTCTTCAAATTTTCTACCTCTCTGAATTTTCACTCTATTTTCCTCATTTTTTTCATAGCATTTTCTGGGTTATAACTGGACTCTACGGGTTTGGGTTTATTGTTACCAAACATAGGATATGACCAGTAAAGATTTTCCCTAACACGTGAGAGGTTTTGCAGGAGAAACATGGCTTTGATAAAAGAACTGAGCACACCTCCTCCTGGTTCAAGGGATCTAAAATTCTCAACAAAATATTCACAATCCTTCTGGACTCAATTCGTAGCATGCCTATATAAACAACGATGGTCCTACTGGCATAACACATCGTACACTGCACTAAGGGCCTTTTTCACGATTGTTATTGCATTGATGTTTGGGACAATGTTCTGGGATCTTGGTGGGAGAAGGTAAATTAATATTCAAGTTTGTATCTTGTGTTCATAAACTGAGATGCCCCGGCAATGGGTGCAAGATTTTTCATTTGGGGAGGGGGGACGAATATTTTTACCTACTTAGTAAAGAATTTGGGTTAATTATCACTACCTCCAAAAAATGGGGGTGGTGGTGCAGCCCCTCATTGCCCCCGTCTAGGTCCACTCCGACCTCCTCGCGGTGATGGTCAAGTGGGGGTTGCATTTCTATAATTTCCCTTTTTCATAATACAAGTTTGACTTTTGGCATTTTTTGTTATTCAAACCAATACCCCTAGGGAAAGGGGGAAAATGGCGTGGAAATTTGTTTTCCATGCCTGGTTTTATCAAGGAAAAGACAAATGAATAATATGAATTGTCTGTTTTTAAATACATGTATATAGATTTTATTAGTGTTTATATCATATTAATAAATAAAATGAGTTTAATTACATCTCTTAAACAAATTTGTTAAGTTTGAGCCTCTTTTTTATTTTCCGGAATGATCTTTCTTCCTAGTTTTATCCCTCCTTTGTTCCCTTGTATTTTCCGGGTTCCAAATGGACCCTCAGTGACACGTCGTTTACCAACACTTTGATTCCCAGGAGTAAGGCACAAGATTTGTTCAATGCCATGGGTTCCATGTATGCAGCTGTTCTGTTTATTGGGACACTAAATGCATTCATTGTTCAGCAAGCAGTTGCAGTAGAACGAACAGTGTGTTACAGGGAAAGAGCTGCAGGGATGTATTCTGCCTTGCCGTTTTCCTTTGCAATGGTAAATATTCCCTTCACTTTTGAATGTGTATATCCCTTCTGTATTAGAATCTCGTTTTAAAATACTGCTTACATTTTAGCAAGTCCATCTCTTGTATGGCAAATCTACCATACGATGAGTGAATTCCCAATGTGGGATAATTCAATGGACTACTTCCGATACAATTTTAGGGGGTGAGCCTTGGCGTTGTGGTAAGGTTGGCCCTTTGTGACACGGATGCCACATGTTTGAATCTTCGAAACAGTATCTCTTTGAAAGCTGGGGTAAAGCTGCGTGCATCCACCCTCCCTAGTCCTCACTCCTCACCTAGAGGGAGCCTTGGGCGCTGGCCCGCCGTAAGCTGTTGATACCACTTTAAATATAAATTGTAAATAAACCCAACATATACTCCCTCCCTCTCAATATAAAGTTTACACTTTTCTTTTCTGAATGTCCCAAAATGAACTTACTCTTTTCCACCTCCCCTTTTAGGAAATTAATATACGGCTCTTGTGATTTTTTTTCTTCTGGGTAAATTTTAACGATACACCTTTCACTTTTCAACACTTCTCTTAAATTTTGTGACGTCAAAGTATAAACTTCATTTTGGGACAAAGGAAGTAAGATTCATGGAACATGATTCTCAACCTTAGAATCAACCAATAAGGTTAGGACTTAGGAAGTTCATCCTATATCTCAAATGGTGGGTCGATGATATGTGAGTAAGGTTCTGATGTGGGATGCTTTAACAACCCCTCGCACTAGCCAGGTTCGATATCACTGTGAGTTTTGAGCAAGCCCCTTTGGTCAAGTGAATGAAAGGTCAAGATGGGGGTTTTAGAGCTGCTCGCCTGGATTGGATCCCCAGCAGAAGCAAGGGGAAGGGTGCATTAAGGGGCTTTATAAATGAAGGGTATATGCGGGCTTAATTATCATGAAGTCTGACATGGCTTGACTGTAGGGTTGTAGCGGGCTATAGTTCGGGTTTCTTACAAAAGAACCACTGTTCTGTTAAGTCATTTTTCCATGAGCAATGTTAACCGCTTCCAAATTTGTATTGCAGATTGTGGTTGAGCTCCCATATATTTTGATACAAGCAGTCATATACGGCACCACGGTCTACTCAATGATTGGATTTGAATGGACAGCTAGGAAGTTTTTGTGGTACCTTCTCATCATGTTCTTAACATTCTTGTACGCCACTTTCCTCGGCATGATGTCAGTGGCCATGACACCAAACCTGCAAATTGCATCCATCTTGGCAACCGGATCATTCGGAATATGGAACCTCTTCTCCGGATTCTTGATTCCCCGACCCGTAAGCCCAATCCGTTTTTTTCTTCTACTTCTCTTTCCATGAAGATTGTCCCAATCCGATGTTTGTGGGACTTTACTGGGTTTGTTTTTGTCGCGATCCTCCAATTAGGTCGAAGTGTTGAATCAATCTTCTTGCATTGTTAATTAATCACCATGTTTTCTGCCATGACAGATGGCTCCAGTGTGGTGGAGATGGTATTTTCGGCTGTCACCGGTCGGATGGACGCTATACGGTCTGGTGGCATCACAGTTTGGGGATTTCCAGGATGTTTTGGAGACGTTCGACACGGTGGAGAACTTCTTGAGACATTTTTTTGGGTTTCGGCGCGACTTTGTTGGGGAAACCGCAGCTATACTGACCGGTTTCGTTCTTCTCTTTGCAACAATGTTTGCTTTCTCCATGAAGATGTTCAATTTCCAAAAGAGATGATCACAATACAAGCAGCTTGAATAAAGGGATATCAGTCAGGTCCAAATAAAATGCTAAATGTTAATATGAAAAAACTGTTAAAACTCAGACGCTTTGGCATTGTTAGAATTTGGAAATGCATTTATACTCCATTGTTTATTCTTTATAAACTTGGATAGAACTGTGAATCATTTGCACTACACAGCATAGCATATATGCAAAACCATGACCAGTAAAGAAATATATTGTAACAAATGCATTTTAGTTCACTGAATGTTTTATAATGATATTATAGGAATTGTTATGTAAAGATTTAGAGGCAATGTTGGTATTTCTCTGTGTTTATGAGATGTTTTTAACTTATAAGTCAGTTAATGACGTGTGTGTTTTATGTGTTTATAAGTTGCTCCTACGCCAGAAAAGATAGGTGGGTCTTCCATACATATTTTTCAGCTATATTTTTCATTTTGACTAGATTATTTATAAACAATCTTTCACTTTTTATTAATCTTCCAAAATCATTTATGTATCATTTAAGTCATCTTACTTTCACAGAAAAATATTTAACTTATAAGTATAATTTTGAAAGGCGAGAGGCAGGTGAGAGGGCCTTTTTAAGGCGAAAGACAGGCGGCCAAAAGGCGAACTTGGGGCATACACACATTCATAAAATATACTCTGCATAGTGCAATGCAATTAATACTGTCAATCCCAACAAGCAAGTCATACTCGTTAAACAAACCAATTAGAGTAATTACCGTATACTCGTATGTTTCTAAAACAATGAGTATTTAATATATAGAAAAGTATTAAAACAATGCCAACTCATTTTTTAAAATGCCCGTAGCTAGTAAGGCGTGAAAGGCAAACAACTCAGGCGAGAAAAGCGAGTGGCTTAGGCAAGAACGGCAGACAACACCTCGTCTGTACAGGCGGTATAAAGTCGCTCGGACGCTTGAGTCGCCTTAGGTGAGGGAGGCACCGCCTTTCAAAACTATGCTTATAAGTAGCTTTTAAGTTAAAAATTGTATATCAGCAATAAACCAATTAACCATAGCACATAGAAACACTCTCAAGGTCATAAAAAACTTGAATTCAAGCAAATAAATTCAATTTCACACCCACCTCGCCTCTCGTCCACACCCGCCCACCATCCACCAACATCAGGTCATGTGTTTCTAAATTTTCTAAAGCTATTATTCAACTTTATAATAAAAGGTATTTACAGAAGCTGATAACGAGCGACATTGAATAGTTACAGGCTAGTCATAATACTAAACACGGCTTTGTCGGCATGTTTGGGAGTATTGATTGCAAGCATTAGGAATGAAAAAACTGTCCCACTGCATGGCATGGTCAGTTCTCCTGGGGTAATCATCTCAAGCGTACAATTATGCTCGAAGCTCTGGCTTCTAATGACATATGGTTTGACATGCTTTTTTTTGTGTTGCGGGCTCGAACAATGAGACTGCACCCGACTCATCTTTTGAGTTTAAAAGGACGCTTTACAAGCATGCATATTATCTTACCAATGGAATATATCCAGATTATTCCACGCTTGTCAAGTCCATCTCCGAACCAATGAGTTCTAAACGCCAAACCTACAAAAAAGCTCACTAGGAGGCGAGAAAAGATATCGAATGAGCCTTTGGGATGTTGAAGAGTAAGTGACACATTCTAGATATTCGTCCAAGTATTATTCTCAAACGAAAAATGAAGAATATCATGCACGCATGTATTATTCTTCATAATATGATCATAGAGGAGAACAATTTGCAATTTGCCATTACAACCTGAATGAGGAGGTCCCTACCTACAAAGAAATCGATGAAAAAAAGAAATGAAAAAACCACCAAAAAATTCAAAGCCGAGATATTCACAATGCATTAACAGCGGATTTGATTGAAGATATTTTTAATCGCTCGAATAATAACTAATTTCTTTGTAATGTAATGTAATTTTTATTTTTTATTTATGTTGTTATTATACAAATCTTATTTTATTAATGTAACTTTTTTTATTAAATGTATTTTTTATTTAATGTTTTATTATCATTTAAATTCAATTAAATAATGAAATCTGATTAAATTAATTTTAGAAGATATGTATTCAAAAATGTAAAAAAAAATAGAGATTTGAAGCTTCGGGACTTTAAACTTATTTCTAATAAAATTATGCTATAAGTTAAAACTGACATGACAAAAAAAATTGAAACTCAAGGACTTCAATAATTTTTTGAGTGCTCTTAGAGTAGTAAACATTTGCTTACCCCAATAAAAAGGCAGAAAATTACTCACAGGTGACGCGAGTTTTGTTGAAATAACTCTCAGGTCTTTCTATTTTCAAGAAGACAGCAGAGGTCCTTACATTTTGTTGGGAGGGGACATTTCATGCAATATTTCATCTGTAAACGTTAATAAATGTATTTTTTTCCTATTCTTTTCTAAATGTTTTCAAGCAATAAATCTTAGGTCGCCCCTTTTTTTTATTTCTTTGTTTTTCTTTCATTTTGTTACTATTTTTTAAAGTGTTATTTTAGAAATTCTTCTATAAAATTGTATAAAAATTCAAATTATTTGTATTATATTAAAAAAAATGAAATAAAAAAATTTAAAAAAAAGAAAAAACAAGGTAATGGAAAAATAGGAAAAAACGGTATTGGAAAAATAGGAAAAAATACATTTATTAACACTTACGGATGATGTATTGGATGAAATGTCCCCTCCTAGTCATTACAACAAAATGTAAGAACCTTTGCTATCTTTTTGAAAATAAGTGAGTTGAGAGTTATTTCAACAAAACTCGCGTCACCCAAGTAATTTTCTGATAAAAAGGTCTGCCTAAGATGGCGTGGACCTTAATCCATAATAGTCGTAACATTTTGGTTGAGGAGTTTTTTCCTAAATCCTAATTGGTTACCCTTGGCGGTCAGGAAATCAAAATTGCCGCCACTCATTAAGAAGTTATGAACAACCATATTAATGGCTTCGAAAAAAAAGAAGTGGATAAATAACTTCAGAGAAACTAAAATAAAGGCAAAATATTCCAATGCAGGGAGGTGCGATCAATGGCTTTGAATGCATCATGTGCAGAAACTCCAAAGCAGGAAGTGCGCACCAGGTGTTCGATAATATGCCACTGAATCTTCCCGTCAGTTTGATGCAAGAGTTGAAGTTGGGCAACCATTTTTCCATTCAGATATTCAGTTCTTTTATGGTAAAATAACTTATTTATGAGGATTTGAAGGTATGGGAAAACTTTCTTTCATGCGAGGAAGATGATAATCCTGACACCATGCATGAATTTCGGTGAAGTCCTTCTTCGCGCAATGAATGCGCCTCACTCTCGACTAATGTGAAAAGAACAGCTTGCAGTATGAAGAACAAGGTCGGCAAATTCTAGAAGGTCAGTTGCTATAAAAGGGACCCTTTTCTCTACCCTGCAGGTTCTGTTATGTTTCTAAGTCTTTTGCTTTAGCATACATATTCTGTCTTTTAGTTCTAATGGAAATTAATGATTCCCATAAGAGCAGTGGAAGCTTTAGAGTAAGCAGTTCTTCCTTATGGAGGGCTGGCGGAATGGATGCTTTTGTGAAGTCATCACGACAGGAAGATGAAGAGAGAGCACTATACTGGGCTGCACTCCAGAAAGCTCCAACCTTTGATCGACTAAAGAAGGGATTGGTGACTGGGTTAAGGGGAGAGACATGTGAAGTTGATATAAAGAACATTGGGTATGAAGAAAAGAAAAAAATTGTTGAGAGGTTAATAAAAGTCCCCAAAAGAGATAATGAGAAGTTCTTGTTGAAACTCAAGGATCGGTTTGACAGGTATGTCACCCTCACATCCCTTCCATGAAAGAGTGTGTGATAATTTTTATGTTCCCTCTTCCTTTAGAGTTCACATAAATAATCTTATGATTTCGATTCACCAGGGTAGCTATTGATATTCCCACAGTTGAGGTCAGATTTGAGCATTTAAATGTGGGTGCCGAGATTTATGTGGGAAAAAGAGCTTTGCCTTCGATCACTAACCTTTCCTTAAACATTCTTGAGGTAATCCATGTTGATAGATTTGTAGGAAAAAGAGGGTTGCCTTCTGTCTTGCATTTTACCTTTTCTGTCTCTTTGAATAGGGGCTATTGAGCTATCTCAATCTTCCAACAAACAAAAAGCACATCTCTGTTCTTCATGATGTTAGTGGAATCATAAAGCCTGGCAGGTATTAGTGCAGGTTGAATATTATCGTCGAGTTTCTCTGGTTATATTTCTGCAGACTTGAGCTGGTAAGAATCATTATTTGCTTCTTGAATGCCTTTCAGAATGACTTTGCTCTTAGGGCCTCCGAGTTCTGGGAAAACCACTCTTCTGCTGGCATTGGCAGGGAAGCTTGACCCTAGTTTTGAAGTAAAAACAACTAGATCTATCTATGTCATTTCTTCAGTAATCCATTTTTTAATTTTTCCTTTATTATTGTTATTAATACCTTCTATCTAATTGTTAGACTTCTGGTAGAGTCTCGTACAATGGACATGAAATGAATGAATTTGTACCCATGAGAACTGCTGCTTACATCAGCCAGCATGACCTCCATATTCCAGAAATGACTGCCCGAGAAACCCTGGCATTCTCTGCAAGATGCCAGGGTGTTGGTTCCAGATATGGTTAGCATGAGTTTTGGTTTGATATTTGCTGTATAAAACCATCTGTCTGTTAAAGTCTAACCGTATTCTATAATATTGCCAATATACTCATCTTTTGCGATCTATATTACTTTGTTACAGAAATGTTAGCAGAGCTATCTAGGAGAGAAAAAGCTGCAAATATTATGCCTGATCCGGATATAGATATATTTATGAAGGTGGCAAAGAAAGTTACCCTGGCTTTTAGTTAATTTCTTCTAAACAGAACTTTTTAACATCCCAAATTAAGAGTCTTTTGATTACGTAATTATACAAATACTCTGTCCCAGAACTTTCTTCCCGCTTTCACTTGGGATGCTTATTAATAAAAATGAAGTTGTGTGGTTGAGGTTTATTTAGAAATGAGATGAGCAAAATCAACCACACAAATCTTCCCTAAAAGGAAACAAGAATTTTTTTGGGACAAATCCAAAAGAAAAACATGAAAATTATGGGATGGAGTAACTTGCTTTTCTTATGTATGTACACACAAGCATACACACACAAATGCGTGTTTGTGTTTATGTATTTATGTATGCATACATATGTGCATATGTTAGCATGCTGAAATGGACAAGCTAAATTTTAATATCCTTGGTCCTTGGACAATGATAGTTTTTCCACATTTGATCTCTTTGAGGCTTTCACAAATTCCAATAAAGTTTGAGACATTGTTTGTTGGGCTCAACTCTAACCTTCACTGTGTATTCTTCTACTTTGTCATAATATCAGTCTTCATAAGTACTTTTTTAACTGAGATCTGCATCCAATGTGGAAATTTACACTCAAATTATGACAAAGATTCTTTAGTCATTAAGATCATTGGGTCAAATGCTTTAACAGGCTGCTGCTACACATGGTAAGGAAGCAAATGTAGTTGTAGACTACATCATCAAGGTATCATCTATAACTTCCTTTGTTAATTAAAGCATATCTAAACATCTATAAATGTTTCTTAATATCTTCTACTATATCGGTATATTAGATTCTGGGACTTGAAGGATGCGAGGATACAATTGTAGGAAGTGAAATGCTTAGGGGTATGTCAGGAGGAGAACGGAAGCGGCTTACAATAGGTATGTGACATCTTTTTCTTCTGTAATTTAAAAATAATTTTATTCAAGGATGAAAATTCTCTAAGAAGCCCAACTGCATCATTAGGTGAAATGCTCGTGGGACCAGCAAATGTTTTCTTGATGGATGAAATATCAACCGGTTTGGACAGTTCAACAACTTTTCAAATTCTAAAATCCATCAAACATTATGTACACATTCACCATGGAACTGCAGCAATATCGCTTCTGCAGCCTGCACCAGAGTGCTATGATCTATTTGATGATATCATTCTAATATCGGAAGGCCGGATAGTTTATCAGGGTCCTCGTGACTATGTGCTTGATTTTTTTGAATGCATGGGATTTAGGTGCCCAGAAAGAAAAGGAGTCGCTGACTTCTTGCAAGAAGTAAGTGTTTGGTACTTTCACGGACAGGTGGTCAAACTGAAATTTATTCCACATTCTATGACAATCCGATTTCTAACCTCCACACTATCATTCACTTTCATGGAAAGTAAGATAAGTTTAACTGATGTTTGACCACATTCCGCACAGTCTCGATAAGTGTTTGCTATGATGGAAAATGAATAGGTGGAAGTGATTTACTTTTCATCATCATCATCATCATATTGAGCACCTTAATCCCAACTAGTTGGGGTTGGTCGCATTAAATGTATTGTGCCAATTAATTATCTATATAAGTTCTCGCAAAACACGGTGACAATGTTTACGATGACAGCAATTCACGACACAATTTCCATTTTTTACACTTCAAAACCTTCATAAGCAAGAGTAATGAGATGAAAATTCTAATGTCATCATCAAATGTTACTTCCTCATGCATGAAAAGTATCATGAGGCGATCGTGAGTTGAGATTTTTTTTAGTCATATTCATCACATAGCGGATACTGCAAGACCAATATGCAAAACATGTATCTCGATCAAAAGAGATGTACTTTCCCTAGCTAGTAAAACTCATTTACTTGCCCCAAAAGGATCACTTATATACTAGACTTAAGCCAAGTAGACAGCCAGTATGAGATACACTCATACACACAATACACCCATCCACTGTCAATGCCATGTTGGACAGCTTAAGGGTGGCTAAATAGGCCCAAACCCACCACCAAACGGGAAACCTCAAACAACCAAATGTGCAGGAATCCTACAAACCACAACCAAACTAGAATATGATACATGTTAAATAGGGTCTAACTCACCCCACCCTAAATGATGCTGAAGAGATTTGTATACTAGACTCAAGCCCACTAGACAACCAATGTAGGACACTCAACAATGACAAACATCTGCCAAGTGAACCGGCTTTGGCAGAGACAAAAAACTGCAGACAGATGTACTAAGCCTAATGCTCTTTGACTTCAGGTAACATCTAGGAAAGATCAAAAGCAATATTGGGTGAATAAGGGCAGGCCTTACAGATTTCTAACAGTTAAGGAATTTTCTGAGGCATTTCAGTCTTTTCACATTGGCCGCAACTTAGGAGATGAGCTTGCTACCCCATTTCAAAAGGCTAGAAGTCACCCGGCTGCTTTAGCTACCAAGAGATATGGTGTTAGTAAGATGGAGCTCATGAAATCTTGTTTTTCGAGAGAAGTTCTATTGATCAAGAGAAACTACAGTCGTTATGTTTTTGGAATATCTTCGGTATTTTTCTTGGCGTTTCCCTGCTAATTTGTGTTTTCCCATCCACACGCTTATCAACTTTGGACTTTTTTTGTTTAACAACTACTTTTTTAAATTACTTTTAGGCAGCCTTTTTGGCAGTGGTTACCATAACCGTGTTCTTGAGGATCGATATGGACCGAAAGTCAATAATTGGTGCACAAATATACATGGGCTCCCTCTTTTTCATCCTTTCTATATTCCTGTTTAGTTCAATACAAGAGTTAGCCCCAACTATTTTGCGGCTTCCTATTTTTTATAAGCAAAGGGACCACTTATTTTATCCTCCATGGGTGTATGCTATGCCTATATGGATCCTTGGGTTCCCCATATCATGTATAGAAGTTTCTCTCTGGGTGTTCTCTACATACTATGTCATTGGTTATGATCCAAATGCGGGAAGGTAGACAACCACTTAATCAATCAATGAATCAATCAATCAATTGGTTTGCACTGACTTTCAAATTCAATGCACTAAACATTTGTCTTTTTTGGAATGCAGGTTATTCAAGCAATGGCTTTTGCTCTTAATTTTCAAACAATATTCTTCTGCATTATTTAGATGTGCTGCTGTTGTAAGTAGGAGTTTGATCATGGCATTTGTTGCTGGTTCATTCTTAATGCTTATTTTTGTTTGCCTAGGTGGCTTCATCTTGTCACGAGGTATTTGTTGTAAAAAGTTTCTGGGGTTATTGATATTATCATTGTCATCATCATCGTTATTATTGTTATTATTGTCAATATCATCATGGCTGTTATATCCATCCCATTATGACTAAATTCACTCCATTTACGTTAAATGGACAAATTTGTCCTTAAAAGTTGGCTAACATTCACTATCTTTGTGTTTTAAGGGAAAAATTTTCCATTTAACCATAAATAGAGTGGATTTAAACCATTATGGGGTGGACATAGCAACACCCTATCATCATCATCATTATTTGGTTATTCATCCTCTTACAAGTTCTTTTATTGTACTTCCAGAGGATGTGAAGAAATGGTGGATTTGGGGTTATTGGATTTCACCTTTGATGTATGGTCAAAATGCTATAGCAGTAAATGAATTCCTTGGAAAAAGCTGGAATATTGTAAGGGTTTCTCCTATTCAAATTTCAAATGCTTCCTTTTGTGATTTAGCGCTTGTTTGGCATACCATTTAATCTCAAATGGAAGAAATTGATAAATTTTTTAATAATTGTAACTATGCACGTATGTAGGTAATTGAGTATGTTTTATATATGACTTTCTGCAATTAATTTGAATGTATATTTTAAATCTTGTTTTTAGATAATGGAGTCACACCTGCCATAACTTTACCAGTAGCCACTTTAGTTATTTTTAGCCTTACCAAATTCTCATAATCTTTCATCTCAATTTTTTTCAAGTTGTGCCAAACATTCACCACGTGTTTTCACTTCCATCTCTTTTGATGGTTTTCTTGAGACTTGCTTACATTTCAATTCATGTACAAAAGGTTCTTCCATTTTCATCGGAATCACTTGGTGTTCTAGTACTGAAGTATCGTGGGCTTTCCTCAAAGGCATATTGGTACTGGATTGGAGTAGGGGCATTGATTGGATACATCATTATATCAAACTTCCTCTATACTCTTGCTCTGGCAACACTCAAACGTACAATAGTTATTTGTTTCTTCAGTTAATTAACATAGTAATCATTTCTAATGCTAATAGTTTGTTGTTTACACTTTGCAGCACTTGCACATTCTTCGACCATTATCTCACCAGAATCTGAAGGTAGGTTTTTCAATGAAAAACACTAGCATTATTCTCTCTATCCTCTTTCTCTCTCTTTCTCTAGAGAGAGAGGGGTAGATATATATATAATATATATATATATATAGAGAGAGAGAGAGAGAGAGAATGATAATCATAGCCTTTAGGGCTATTTGTAAGCAATGTAAGCATCAATAATGATAGACTATTCTGAGTAACTTTAAAAAAAAACTTGCAATCTTTTAATGATTAATGCGGCCTTTGATGAATTATTTTTTGTCCTAATGCAAAACACTAAAAAAAAATTCCCAATAATGCTTAAACATACCTGGAAGGGTGGTGGTTAATAGGACACACATGCACACCAACATTTTGTATCCTGATATGTTTACATAGATGGCCACAGAGGTCGCGAACGGGCCTAAAAATGTATCACTGCTAACTCGAACAAAAAGTTTTCAGGTGTGACAGAGACCAATAACAGCAAGTGTGGGATGACCCTTTCTTTTGAGCCGCACTCCATTGCATTTAATGATATTAGATATTCTCTAGACATGCCACAGGTAATATTACTTGATAGTTGATACAATAAATCTGTGCCCCGAAAGACATAATTCTATTTAAATTATTATTATTATTATTATTATAGTTATTATTATTATTATTACTACTACAAAAGTGATAGGAAGTAAAATATAAGAATTTCTTTGAAATTTGTATTGCATGTTATCAGCTAGTGATAAGTTGTCAACTGTACTATATATTTCTTGATTAGCCGCTATCTGAAGTCCGAAAATGCTAGTCAAAATAACTAATACAAACCTCTCACCACTATTTGTTATTTTGGTGAGAAATAATAGTACTACAATTTAAGATTTTTCTGATGAACCATGTCAAGGAACCAATTCAACCAAAAGCTCAAGCTTGTGGTTGTGGCCCAGGAAATGTTTCTTATATTCTAACACGCCCCCTCACGTGCAAGGGTAGTCTTTTTTTCGAGCTTCGCACGTGAAACCTTAATTTTTTAAAATTGGGTGGCACTGAGTTTCGAACCCGTGACCTCTTAGTCAACAAGGCTCTGATACCATGTCAAGGAACCAATTCAACCAAAAGCTCAAGCTTGTGGTTGTGGCCCAGGAAATGTTTCTTATATTCTAACAAACCACAAACGAGTACTATAGCAGTAATCTGCATTGTTAAACTTTAATTAATAAATCATTGATTGCATTTTATTTACATTTGTGATATGCTCCTATTCATAAGTTTAGCAGGATTCTATTTATAACTGTTAAGCATGCGTACTGCTATTGTAGTCTTAATAGAGTGAGTCTGCAGGAGATCAAGAATCTGGGAGTCATGGGAGAACGCCTTGAGCTTTTGAAAGGTGTCAGTGGGGCTTTCAGGCCAGGTATTCTGACAGCTCTTATGGGCATTAGTGGGGCAGGTAAAACGACGTTAATGGATGTCCTTGCTGGAAGGAAAACGGGTGGGTATATTGAAGGGGAAATTTCAATATCTGGCTTTGCAAAGAAGCAGAAAACATTTGCCCGCATTTCTGGATACTGTGAACAAAACGACATCCACTCTCCTTACCTTACAGTATATGAATCATTGACTTTTTCTGCTTGGCTGCGCCTACCATCAGAAGTTAGTTCAGAAATTCGAACGGTTAGTGTGCATAAACAATACATCTTTAACTCTAATAGTTTACATGTGGAGCTGAACAAGATTTTGTCCCTTGTAGTATACCGTATATAGATCTGAAATTGAATGCCAAATTTGCATTAACTTCTCTTTTTGCAGGTCACTTACGATTTTTATTAGTACCTTTCTTTTTAAACTCTTATTAACTTAGTTCACCTTATCTAAAAAAATTCTGGTTGACTGAATTATAAATCCATACACGAAGGAAGCCGTTTGGTAAGGGTAAATCCAGTTGGAGTGGCTGAACTATCTAGAAAAAATACTCCCTTTATGTTTTGTAGGTTTTTTTGTTCTGAAAGTAGTCATTCTCGATCAAAATGAAGATATTTTCACAAACATTTCCCAAATACAGTAACAAACAAGTTTAAAATAGGAAATTTAGTTAAACTATCAAAATGCTTATAAATTATCAAGTAACCATTTATGACATATAACAGTTGTACCTTTCCAATAGTAAAAATAAGTTGTTTTTTGGTGGTATGTGGAATATAGAAGTTAAGGTAATAGTAAAGTAGTTGTCTAGAAGCATGACATCACTCGAGAGATGTCATCTTTGTATTGGAATAATGCTGATTTAGAAAAAAACTAGGACGTAGAAGAAGATTTAGGGCCTATAAATTCATTAAATCTACTATTTCTCTTATTATTTCACATGTTATTAGAGATATTAGTCCACAACTTTCCTGGGTGAACATAACCACTTTTCTGACGGGCATAGTTTTGTGGTAGTGATTCATCAAATATGAAAACACCACTAGAGCCCTGTCCTCATTGAAGACAGCCATGTCTCTTTTTATGGGATAGATAGAGTGTTAAATAGAGCAATAAAACAAAATAATATCCTTAATATTTTTTATTATATAGTGTTGGTGCAGTTGAGTATGTTTATATTTGGTAGAAAAAGTATTGTTCCTAACTTGCACTTGCCAAGATCGTCATGATAACTAATAAGCATGACAATTTTCTCTAACATTTGTTGGTAACTACGAGTAAATAAGAATGCCTAAATCGTACCCTCTTTTTCATTTTCACGGTTAATCCTAAAAGATGTTCATCGAGGAGGTCCTGGAGTTGGTTGAACTTACCACTTTGAGGGAAGCACTGGTTGGGTTACCAGAGGTGAATGGTCTCTCAACTGGACAACGGAAGAGGCTCACTATTGCAGTTGAATTGGTGGCTAATCCTTCTATATTGTTCATGGATGAGCCAACCACAGGCCTTGATGCAAGGGCAGCAGCAATAATTATGAGGACAATTCGGAACATTGTTAACACTGGTAGAACCATTGCTTGCACAATCCACCAGCCAAGCATTGACATATTTGAAGCTTTTGATGAGGTAATTGATTCCTTGTCTATGTGCTAACACGTCTCGCTTCCTCTTTATTAAATTGAGTCTGACGCACTCCAAAAGGATCCTTAATAGGTGAGGTTTACATCGAACTTTACTCAAACCCAGTAGAGAAACATTATGGGATACCTGGCACTGTTTTATCTCATTCAGTGGGCAGTATAATTCCGTGATTGATTATTGCAGTTGCTTCTAATGACACAAGGAGGGCGGGAGGTTTATTTTGGCCCATTAGGGGAACGTTCTTGCCATTTAATAAATTATTTTGAGGTAAGTTTCCCTGCACTTTTGTTGCCTTTTTATTAAACAAGATGGGCTTCACAGAACGAGTCAGTGGTTTGAGGTATTTATATTGTTGTCATGATATTCATTTTGAGTACTTCCTTTCTTCTTTCATCTAGAGTATTGAAGGAATCAGCAGAATAAGAAAGGGTCTTAATCCCGCAACATGGGTGCTGGAAATTACAGCAAGTGAAAATGAAGAAGCTCTGGGGATTAACTTCAACGAGATCTACAGAAATTCAGAACTATACCTGTAAGTTGGCATCATTGGTGGAGCCAAGGCTCCTCTAAATGGGAATTTGGCGTGGGATAGAAAAATAATGAGTAATTTCTATAAATAGTTCTTTATAACATGGGGTTTTCCATATATAGTCTTCAATTCTAAGATATTTTGTTCGTGGTCCTCTATATTTGAGAACTATTCCTTAATCAGTCCTTTGTGGACTATATGTGGAAAACAAATTTGGGTCCAAAAGACTCATCATGGAATAGTTCTCAAATATAGAGGACCACAAACATAATAAATTCGACTTGAGGACTATTTATGGAAACACTTTGTTATAAAAGACTACCTATAGAATTTACTCATTATGTATGAAAATGACAAGTTTGGGAAGTGTTATTTTCTTTAAAAAATGTTGCAGCACATGTATTATACCCCGTATTGTTGTTAAGTGATTTTTTTTATTATTTTGTACTCCTTCCGTCCATAAATTCACTTCCCGTTTGAAAATGTGCAAAATTTGATCTCTTTTAAAATTATTTTATTTACAAATTCATATGGAAATTAAAAGTATAAATTACATATTTTAAAGTACATCAAAATTTCTATAAAACAAGATGTGAAAACACATCTTGTTTTATTCAACTGGGTTGTTGTAAATTATCAATGAAAAGACACAAATCAACAAAAGTTATCGAGAGCCCAAAATAGTAATTGGAAGTTAATTTGTGGACTGAGGGAGTACTTTAGAAATATTTGTTTCATTTGAAAGATTGCAAAAATATGATCAATTATATACTCCTTATATAAGGCTTGGATTTTCTTATTACAAAACATAGAAAAGGGTTTGCCGTGAGTTTCCTTAATATCTGAGACGTTGCAGGAGAAACAAGGTGTTGGTAAAACAACTGAGCACACCCCCTCCTGGCTCAAGGGATCTTAAATTTCCTACCAAATATTCACAACCTATCTTGACTCAATTCAAAGCATGTCTATGGAAGCAACAATGGTCTTACTCGCATAACATGTCCTACAACGCACTTAGATTCCTCTACACAATTGTCACTGCATTCGTCTTTGGGACAATGTTTTGGGGTCTTGGTTTAAAGAGGTACACATTCATAGTTCATAAGTAGGTCCCATCACCCATGACTATTCAGTTGTTCCCATTTCCGGATCCCGCCTTTCATTTTTTCTACATTTGGCGCATGCCTATGAATTTATCGACATTTTTGTCCTTTCTGGCCACTTGACCATAAAAAAATCAACCATGCTAGAGTTACACGAAGGAGTGTACCCCAAAGTGTACACCAAGGATTTACAGTAACATTTTGATGGTTCTACACTGACACAAGATGCTGGTGCAATAATAAAAAATTTGTACTAACATTTTGTGTTTGTGTGAACCATCATCTTGGCATCACATTGGCACAAAAACAGAGGTACACACCTGTGGTGTACAATTTGGGGTACGTATTTTGGGGTTCAAGTAGCTTAATCCTAAAAAATCAACGTAGAGTTGTATCAGAGAAGTTATCGGAAGTACCAAAAGTGGTAACAAAAGCATAGTTTTCTACCAAAACTTGAAAATATAAATCTGGAATAAAATACGGGTGAAAAAATTCTAGTTCATAATAAACTGAGTTTGACATTTTCTACATTTCTGGACCAATTCTTTTCTCAACATCTTGATTGGCAGGAGTAAGGCACAAGATTTGTTCAATGCCATGGGTTCCATGTATACATCGGTTCTCTTTACTGGTGCTTTAAATGCATTCACTGTCCAACAAGTAGTTGTATTGGAGCGGACTGTATTTTACAGAGAAAGAGCTGCAGGGATGTATTCAGCCATGCCTTTTGCCTTCGCAATGGTAAATATATCTTTTACTTTTGAATACACTTCAGAAACAAAAAAGAAAGGGTAAAAAAACTATGCTCATCATCTATATATTGTAGTGATGGGTTTAGGTGTTTAGCCCATGGTCGAGCCCAACTCTCGTTCTTGAAGGTGACAGTTAGAGCATTTGATATGTGACATCTAAGAATTTACTCTATCACTTGCTATAGCAATTATTATACATATTCATGTACTGATTTAGGGTCCATTTTTTACATTTTTTTATATCAAAGATACACACACTAGAACAAGCACAGACAGGACAGACCTCACCACAAAACCATGGCAAATCCACTGAGCTCTTTGAAAGAAAATGCATTTGGTAAAATTGATTTCATCCAAATAAGTCAATGGCTGTTTGTTCTGTTTAATCTGTTGGAAAAAAAATAAGCAAATTAATGCTTCCAAACAAGTTTTTAGTATTAAAAAAGGCTTTGGAGTCAGAAAATGTGCACACACACAGTCACACCCATGTGCTACTTGCCTACTTCTACATGCAATAAAACACTTCCTTACCATTCCCTTGTGCTTCACTGCTTCAGTATGCTCACAAATTCAGTCTAAGGGTCAATTTTGATGTATGATTTTAGGCAGAAGTGTAAATCTTAATATATATTCTCTCTGTATTTGAATCAAAATCCTAGTTTGACTTTATAGAGTTTAAGAAAATTGTTGAAACATGTGATTGGGATTTGTTTAGAAGAGATAGAAATGTGGTGAGCCGCATATTCTTTTCCTAAAAGTAAATGGAAGAAATGTGATTTTTTTTGGGATGGACAGAAAATGCCAGTGTGAATTTGATTTGGGGACGGAGGGGGTATTTGATAATTTATTATCCTTCCATCCAGATTTAGTTTCCCACTTTCTTGTTTTTGTTTGTACGGAATTAGTTGTCTGCTCTCTTTATTCAATAAAGAAACTATGATGAATTGTCTACAATATTTGTGAGATGAGTCATGAGTGAAATTCTTGACATGAATGAGTGACAAACTAATTTGAAGGATTTATTTGACATTTTAAACTTATTTCTTAAAAATGAGAGTTTTTAGAAAGTGGACAACTAATTCGGGACGGAGGGAGTAATAATTAAGAAATAACATGATAGACCAAGACATATACCAAGTCATCTGAAGTCTTTCCTTCTGAAGCCCTCCATTCAATTTGACACGTAACTACATAAGATCTTGGTCTATAAATCCAACGGTTTCTTCTTCTTCTTCTTCTAAGCATGATATTTTTCTCATGTCAGCCATTTTAGCTGTTCTGATACTATCTATGTTGCAGGTAGTTATTGAGCTCCCATATGTTTTGCTGCAAGCCATCATCTACAGCACCATGGTCTATTCCATGATCGGATTTGAGTGGACAGTCACAAAATTCTCTTGGTACCTTCTAATCATGTTCTTGACATTCTTGTACTCCACCTTCCTTGGTATGATGTCAGTGTCCTTAGCACCGAATGTGGACATCGCATCCATCTTCTCTATTGCATCTCTTGGAATATGGAACCTCTTCTCCGGATTCTTGATTCCTCGGCCTGTAAGTTTTCAACCATTTCTAATGTTAACCAAGTTTGTTAAAATAACTTCGTTCAACCTGAAAACATGCATTTCTCATCATCATCATCACCATCATCATCATCATCATCATCACCATCATCATCATCATCATCATCGTGTTTGTTGTGATGGCAGCTTGCTCCGGTGTGGTGGAGATGGTGTTACCTGCTGTCTCCAGTTGCTTGGACGCTATACGGATTGGTGGGGTCACAGTTTGGAGACGTTGAGGATGTTTTGGAGACGTTCGACACGGTGGAGAGCTTCTTGAGGGTTTATTTCGGGTTCAGACGAGACTTCTTGGGAGAAACTGCTGCCATTCTCTCTGCTTTTGTGCTCCTCTTTGCACTCATCTTTGCTTTCTGTATGAAGCTCTTCAACTTCCAAAAGCGGTAAAAAGATACAAAACAAAACTTGTCTGTACATAAATAACATAAAAAGAAAAAAACTTGTACTGTATGGGACAGAGTAGATTGATTAGGCCTAAGAATAAGCCCATGCAAACTGCAGTTGAGATGCTGCTAAGTATAGTTTTTTTGTTGTTGTAAATGGAGGTAAATAAATAAAAATGCTCAGTAATATTTATATTTCTTTATTTTTGTACGAGTAATTAGTTAAGTTCTCCTGTCTCAAAACTAAAGTCTCCTTTAAATACTATTTGTTAATCATTTGTTAAAATGATATTCCAAATAGAGTATAATTATGTCATCGATTATTTTATGCATACATGGTTTTAAGTCTGAGATCTCCTTGGTCGCCATTTAAAATGTGTATATCACCATCATTTTTAAACACGATCAAGGCGATCGTAGCTATGTACTCTTTCCCTCCTAATTTAGTAATTTATTTGTCTTAATTTGACTTTTAATCAAACTTTGACCTATAATTAAAAGAGTTTTTAAGATTCTTTTTCGGACTCTCTCAAGGCTCTCGTTGATGATGATGCCCGTAAGATCAAGACGACCTTCGTAGAGGCATTGAGGAGCAAATATGGTTCATTTAAGCCTCATAGACTTGAGCTTCAACAGTGATATTTGAGGGTATGCCCCAAAACGTTGAGGTGTACTAAGGCATAATTTCATGGAAACCTTCTTTATGTTATGGCTTATTTTTAAAAGGGTAGAGTTCTAGAGCCGAGTGTAGGGGTGTAAACGGATATTAATCTGCTCGGATGTGTTATTATCAAATCCGTATCCGTTTATTTTCGTCGGATATCGAATTCGGATACGGATCTTGGCGGATTTTTAAAATCAAAATCGTATCCGCATCCTTTGGATATCGGTCGGATATCGGATATATCCGTATCCGTTTCCAATTTTTAAAATCAAATTAAACAATACTTTAATTTTAAATTAGATTAAAGTCAAACTATTATTAAATCAACACAAAATTGTTATGAGATAATTATTTTCTTTGTTTTTATGATTTATGATATTCTACAATAACTTCATATGATAAAAAAATATATACAACACATATATACACATATTTTTATATGTCTGCACATACTTTTATATGTCTATACATTTATTTTGTATATAAAAATGTTTTATACTTTGAAATATCAATAGAGTAACAAAATAAAAACATAACGGATCGGATATTCGAATAAACGGTTATTTAAACGGATGCATATTCGGATCGGATTTTAAACGGATCGGATATACAATTACTAAATCCGTATCTGTTTAGTAATCGGATATTCTTAATCAGATACGGATAATGTCCGTTTAAAACGGATGCAGATACTTTCTCTTTAATCAGATACGGATGTGGACGATAATCGGATTTTCGGCTATTCATTGACAGGACTAGCCGAGTGGCTCCATATGACATCCATTTGAATTAGAGTACCTACACTTTCCTAATCATAAAATTAATAAACCCTCCGGCGTGGCCCAATTTGAACCATCTTCCTACCCCTATTCAATTGTACCTATTAAAATTAGTCAATTTTAGGATCAAACTTTTTAATGCCCAAAAGTCAACTGATGTTAATTGAAGGTTGGGCCGAGTCACACTAGGGAAGTTTGCATGGGCTAAGGTAATTTTTTCCCTAAGTTAATTACTTATCTTCTAATTGAATTGTTCTTCCGTGATTCTAAGATTTACATGTGAAATGTGCATCTTTTTATATTTTTCATAGGCTAGTAGGTGATTGATTTTTTTGCTAAAGAACCAATTCTTTTACAATACTAATGCATTAAGATTCATAACACGAGCATGGATCTTATAAGTACGAAAGAATTTACCCTCCTTCTAAGTGGTTCATCTTTTTTTGAAAGACCTCTTCATCTTAATTTTTTTTGACAAGTCTTTATCTTTATTTAATTTTTCTAAAATTTGCAACTTAAAGGTTAACCTCGAAATATCTTTCCTTAATTATTGATTTTCAAAATAAAGAAAGAATGTAGAACTAACTAATGTAGAGTTGTCTTGTACTTGTAGTCTGGTCAGTCTTAGATTGGAAAAATATGAATTCTTTCAGGTGGTGTTTGGGAACTACCATTTCATTTCAATTCCAAAATTTAAATTCTTGAATTTCAAATAACAAGAGAAAGCACTCAAATACAAATCCAAAGTTTTATAGTTTTCCAAACATGAAATTTGAGCAAAATCTAGATTTGAAATCTAAATCCAAGTTCCCAAACATACCATCATTTTTTTTCAGACAATTTCAACTTTTTTCTTGGCTATCAAACTTGATTTAATCTTATTTTAATCTTTTCTATTCGTTGATTATGTTTCAAAAATTAATGTCAAATTACAAATTTTCTATTAATAATATGATACATTTAAAATAAAATTTATACTTATGTTAGTTTGTCAGGTTTCAAAAATATTGATGAAATTCCATTTTAATACGGAGTACATTTTTATCTCGCCAAGAATAAGTTGCATATAAAAGTATGTAAAAAACTAAACTCAAATATTATACTTAAAGTTATAAACAACAAAGTCATTATAATCAAATATGACTACTATTTCACGAGAAAAGAATAAAAAAAATAAACATATCCCGATCATACCGGTCTTACCCAAAAATCCATTTTAGACCAAAATCGACCTGAATTATACTAGTCCTCATTTTAAGCCTGGTTTGATTTTTCGCAACATATACTGTACAATCGAGTATTTCTTTACGAGTAACTGAATACTCATTATCTATCAACTGAATACTTATTTACGAGTAACTGAATACTCACTGTCGATCAACTAAATACTCATTTTGAAGTAGGTGATATTCATTTTTTTAAAATATCATTAGATTCGAAAATGAGTATTCAATATTTAAAAATGAATATTTTATTATTTGAAAATGAGTAGTAGTTAAAGATTAGGGGAAGCATTTTACATGGGTACTCCTGATTTTTACCAATAAAGCTCGAATTCTACCCCTATTATTTTCACCATCGCCTCAGTTTGCTTGTAGACGAGGAGAGGAAAAAGCCGATACACAAAAGCACAGAATCAGAGAGCTCGAGCGAAATCTTGCAGAGATGGATCCAAATCTAACGGCGCTTTCTCAGTCATTCGAGCGATTCAAGGCCGCTTTAATGCGCAAAGATTTCGACACCTGCACGGGGCTTCTCCCCCAACTCAAGGTAACATTTACAGAGCTTCAATTCCAATTTCGAAACCCTAGTTTTTCTAGTTCTGGAATTAGTTGATTTTAGAGCATATATCACTTCTACTTTGCATATGAGCCTGACCCATAAGGCGCATTATTAGCTCGAGCCTTCCTTTGAGACGATCTCTTTAAGGTTCTTGAGTATTGTTCTGGATCTTTACATAATTGGAAAATATGTTTTTTTGAAAATATGAAGTCATTCCTGATTTTTGAATGATATGAGCCGAGGTTGAAAAATTATGAACAAAGATTGACTAACGTTGATTTTAAAGCAGCGGCGTCTTTAATATGATGTAAAAGAAGATTGTTTCTCACATGTTGGACCCAAACTATTCTTTGAAATTTTTACTGGTTCCAGTAAAACCCACAATTTACGAGGATGCTAACATCTGTTGAGTTGTGCAATTTCCACAATTCACCTGTATTTACAGCAAGTTATAATAATTCTATTGGATCTTTGTTTTGCTACATAGTACTACGAGCATTAAGTTGTTGCATATTTTATAGGATAAGCTCATTATAATCCTGGTTCAGTAAAGAATTTCATAGTAAATTATAGCAGTGTAATTTGCTGGAAACACGCATTAGTACACTGACAGATCTCTTTACTTGAATATAGCAGAGAGAGAAGACTTATTGTTGAATAATTTTCATTTCACTCTATTCCTTAATTTGAATTGCTTTAATATTTACAGGTTATGCTAACAGAATTTAAGAGCCTTCCTCCTGTCTTTGGAGAAACGCCGAATGCAGTCCAAGAGTTGACAATTGCAAGTAATGTTCTTAACTCTGGGTTCTCTATGTTGATTTCTGACAAATCATCTTGATTTTTTGGTTGACCTTTTTAATAGATAAAGATCTCCACCTTGTTTTAATAAACCTCTCTGGGCTTATGAAATGCGATAATAAGAAATGTACATACAGTAGCAGGGATGTTTTGGGAGTGGGTTAAGGGGGGAAGTGTTTGTGGAACTTTCAGGTGTTAAAAGTCGCATTTGTTCATTGTGTGAACTGTGAAGGAATGGTTTAAATACGATATAGAAAATCTAGCCATTGATTGATATTGGAGTTCACAAAAACTAATGTGTCATCATGTGTGTTATTAGTTGTGTCAATTCTTTTTTAGTGAAGGTCATCTTATCTAGAACCTCCTATTTGAACTTGCAGTGTTTTTATAGGTTTCCATTCGATACCTTCTGGTCTAGATTTGCAAAATAGGTAGATCTCAGATTATATATATATATATAATGGCTTGCGCCTTTATATATTCAATACATTCAACTTTTGAGCTTTCAAAAGATTCTGTTTCTAGCCATCTACCATAATAATATCCGTAATAACATATTGTCTTAATTTTGCAGGGGATATATATGAACATGCAGTTATTTTAGCTTTGAAGATGGAGGATCAAGACGCCTTTGAGAGAGATTTCTTTCAGCTTAAGCCTTATTACACAGATGCACGGTGACCATTATTAGCATCCCCATTTGTTTCTAATTTTCATGATGTTGGTCAAATCAACTGGAAAGATGGATATTAGATTAATTTGGGGCTAAAATTTTTATAATTGGTGGCCACCTTTGGTTCGGTTTAGCCTAGCAGAACCAAATATTTAATCAACTGAACCAAAATTATACTCTCCCCGTCCACAAATAAACTTCCTGTTGCACGTTACAATGTTTGACTGGAGTTATTTTCAAATCATTTTATATAAAAAATTATGTAAAATTTAAAAATAAAAATTACATATTAAAAAACTATATCAAAAGATCTACAAAATTAGAGGTGACATGACTATATTATTTTATCAAATGGGTGACGAAAATAGACCAACAAAGTGAATAAAGTTTGACCCTGTGAATAGTGAACGGGAAGTTTATTTGTGGACGGAGGGAGTACCATTTTCCAAAACCAAACAAACGAATAAAACATGAAACATCAGTTAAAGATTGACCTACCTGAATCAAAACGAAACCATGTTGTGTTTGGTTTCATTTTGGTCCCCAATTTGATTTAAACTTATTCTAACCGAAAATGACCGCTCCTATTATTTTTTTGAATCCATTGTGTTTTTCAGTGCAAATCACAATCAATTGGAAATGCTCTCCATTTACCAAATCTTTTTTAAGATTAGGCATGTTGTAGTCATTACTATTTTATGATATATGATTTAAAGAAATATTATTTTGCTCTTGTGATGGAGAAACAGAAAACTTCCTCAATCCCCCCAAGAATACCCCATTCTAGGCCTCAACCTTTTGAGACTACTGGTTCAAAATCGAATCGCAGAGTTCCACACTGAACTGGAGTTGCTTTCTTCAAATGCCTTGGAGAATCCTTGTATAAAACATGCTGTTGAGCTGGAGCAATCATTTATGGAAGGAGCTTACAACCGTGTGTTAAGTGCCAGACAGGCAGTGCCTCATGAAGCCTATACTTATTTCATGGATGTTCTGGCTAAGACTGTCAGGTAACCCTCCCTCTCTCCACCCCTGAATCATTTTTTTTATCCCCCTTGATTCTTTTCTTTGCATTTGTAGATTAAAGTCACTTCAAATGCCACATGTTATTTCTTTCAAATGCTTTTTTGTTTTAATTTTTTTTTTGTGCAATACCGATAAAAATCCATGGGTAGTAAATGATCAGAGCTTTGGATATTACACGGCAACCTCAAAAGTAATGGTTAGGTTTGAGTTCTCAAATACATTATGATAATATGGCTTGCCTTGACTAGGGATGAGATAGCTGGATGCAGCGAAAAAGCCTACGACTCTCTTTCAATAAAAGATGCCCAGCAAATGCTACTTTTCTCCTCAGACCAAGAACTTTTGGAATATGTTACTGAGGTAAGACTGACATCACCTTGTTTCCACGCTTAATCTCGAATTGATTTTGATTGTTGAGATCATTTCTGTGCCCTTTTGTAGGAACACCCCGAGTGGGTGGTAAAGGACGGGCTCATCATTTTTCAAAGAGTGAAAGATTCGGCGCCTTGCAAGGAGATACCGTCTTTGCAGCTTATCAACCAAACACTCAGTTATGCACGGGAATTGGAGCGAATCATCTGAGGTTTCTGCTTTGAGTCTCATATTTCTGACACAATTTGAGAATCTGTCCTTTTGAAAGATAAAAAACAAGTTGAATCGGTCCTTTTTTTCGTTTTCCAGTTGAAGTGCACATTTGTAGTGTGTGTTTTTTCTTGTTTGAGTTCGATTACTGTAATTCATCGTCTTCTTCATAATTTTGTCTTGCCTCTGCTACTTGATCCAAAAAAGCTTCTCTTTCTTATACCTCATTTTCCCCCAACAGATTTTTAAGAACAGATAGATGGGGTGATTTGTGTGGTTTACAAATTATAGAATTTATGGAAATAAATTGGAAATAATGGGAATCACCTCTTTTTCTTTTGACCACCCCAAGATACCAACCCATTTAGAGCAACTCCAATGGTGAAAGGTATCATGGACAGGTAATGTCTCATTTACCCCTCCAGAAATTCAAATTTACCTTTCCTGAAAGTGTGCAATTCTTCCCGCCACTATCAATAACCGCTTCCTTTCTTTTTACCTCTTGTTGCATATGAGGGTATTTTTACCTTCTGTAATTGGCGAGGGTATTTTACCCTCTTATTTACCTCTCTCATTGGAGTGTAGCTTTTATGAAAGAAAAAAATTGTTTTGATTCCTTACCACAAATTTGGTTTCATTTCACATGGATTTCATGTTTGTTGTCCATTGTGTGATCTCAACCTAAGAGGGGTTGTATTGATAAAAATGAAAATTTGGACATGTAAAACAAAGACAGTACGAGCATATTAATAGGTTTTCTAAAAGCTCCTCTAGGAAAGCTCAATTCTATTGTTTTATTTAAAAAAAAAACTTTGTTTCAATTTAAAAAAGAAACTACATTGATTTAATTGTCAACTTTAAAAAATATCTCACTTTTAAGTGAATACTCTTTCCGTCGTTCCAATTTAAATCGCTTGTCGAAGTTTGACTGAAATTGTTTTTAACTCAATTTAGTTAAAAATCGGTATAGAATTTTAAAAAAATTACATATTTCAAAACAACATTAAAAGATATAGTACAAAATAAGAAGTGACAAGACTATGTTATTTTGTGACAACATCCAAAAAAAATACACAAACAGGTACCAAGAACTAGATTCAAAGCACAGAAAACACGTAAATATCTAATGAGCTGGTGTTCATAGGTGTCGATAATACGGAGTTGAAAGTTATTTCGTGAAGTGCCAAACATAGCCTTTGCTAAAGGATTCGTTTCTTCAGGTGAAAGAGAAAAAATGTAATTAATTTTTTTAAAATCTAATTTGGTCCGGTCTAGTTTGAATCGTTATGGTAAGTTTTAATTGAGGTAATACTCGTTTTAGATCTGTAGCTAGGAAATGTGAATCAAATTATTCTTTACATAAAATTTATCGACTAAAGTCCTAAATTAGCAAGTTAATTGTCATGAAAACTAATGCACCATATCATTACCCTTGCGTCAATTAATGTGATTTATTTATTGGTCCATTACATTTTAAATTTTTATATTTTTCTTATGCACCAATAAGAACATAACATCCAAAAAGATATTAGAGCGTGGTAGAGAATATTGAATGAGAAAATGACATGGCATCAGATGATATGGAAAGAGAATAGAGAAAAATGGTCAGTGATACACTAACAGGGACCAAAATGAGTATCAACTCTGGTTTGATTGAACTCAATAAACATAAATCAAGTTACAAACACAGTATAGCATTTTCTGCTTCAAAGCTACAAGAGATATAACTTAAAATTTACAAGAAAATCACAACAGCAATTCATCCTCATAAAACCCATTATGTTTTTCAAAGATGCACAAGAAGATCATGGCAGCAAATGAACAGATGATTCCATCCATTATGCAGATCCGAACTCAGAGAACCACTTTTCGTGCTTCTCAATGTCGGCTGCGGAAACACTGGGCTGGACTTTCTTTATGGCTTCCAAGAAGTCGCACATTGCGATGGGGTCCTTGGAGATCTCATCCTTGGCCATGTTCTTGATCTCGTCCCTCGTCTTCCCTGCTATCTTGCGCCTCATCCCATTCAAAGACGCGTCTCGGCACACGTTTGTCAGGTCGTCCCCGCTGTATCCCTCCGTTTTTCGTGCCACTTCGTCTATATCCACATCCGTCGCCACCTGGTTCGTCATGCCACTTTTGTTAGAAGAAGAAGAAGAAGAAGAAGAAGAAGAAAAAGAAGAAGAAGAAGAAGAAGAAGAAAAAGAAGAAGAAGAAGAAGAAGAAGAAAAAGAAGAAGAAGAAGAAGAAGAAGAAGAAGAAGAAGAAGAAGAAGAAGAGATGAACTTTTAGTGTGTGTTTGGTTAGGGGGGAAAATGTTTTCCGAGAAGAATGTTTTCTAGGAGAAAATGATTTTCTCTCCTACATTTTCCATTGTTTGGTAGGAAGGAAATTATTTTTCCCAAAAAAACATTTTTAATTGTTAAGATTTCAAAATTGATAATTGCAAATGTGTTTTGAAGATTGGCTAGATTCCGTTAACACTTATTTTGAGTGTCAACGGATGACAACAGCTCAAATTGAGGCATCCACGATGGCCCGTTTGTAAAATTGATGGTTCCTATCCCTCTGACCTCTGGGAAAATCCCACTCCGGCCCGGCTTGAACCCACTCCAACACTTTTTTTATGAGGAAGGCCTAGCAACTTTTTAAGAGAGTTCAAACTAGGCCATTCACCATAACGCAAAATAACACAAGTATCCATGTGGAAGCCAAATTTGAAATCAACAAAGAAATACACGTATGAATCTGACCTCAACGGTTTTCAAATTGATCCGGATAAGCTCCTTGCGGCTTTCAAAACTTGGAAGGGGAATGTATATCCTTTTTTCAAGCCGTCTCCTGGATTTGTCATGAACACACTCAAGTCAGGGAGAGAGTAATGCCATACAAGACCATTAAAAACTAATAAAGAAAAGCTTGATTGACCTCAATGCCTCATCGATATCCCAAGGAAAATTTGTAGCTGCCAAAACCATCACTATTTTTCGTGTTCCATCCTCATTGGTGGAGGAGTTGTTTACACCGTCCACTTGAACAAGAAGTTCAGACTTTACCCTTCTAGATGATTCATGCTCTCCTGAAGCCCTGATGAAGTAAATAGTCACCGTTCTTTTGATTCGAAATATAATATGTCCCGCAAAAGAATTTTTTAGAATATTATGTGGGAGGGGGTTCTTTCAATATTGACAATGCACATAGTCAACCCACAGTGTGACCAACATGTCAACTCACACAATGATGCCGATGCAAATAGGGGCATTGATTTTTGGGCAGAGAAAACGAAATACTAGTTGCTAAGTATCACTTTTACCCTTTTGTAAAGTTAGTTAAAAAATGAATCATTACTATCTTGAAATTCAAAAAATTGAAAAATAAATGCACAACCAATATAGAAAGTTAGAAACTTGACTTTCTTTATAGTTGGACCAAGTGCAAAAGTGAACAAAATAGGCTTGTTTGGTTGGAGAATTTTCGAGGGATTTTTATTAATATATTTCTACTTGTTAGCTTGAAACTACAAAAAAATTATATCTTTTAAGTCACGTATGGTAACTATGGTTATATAAATTTATACAGTTTCATTCCAACGATTTACATAATATAATACTAAAATAGACTAATATCCCATCTATCCAATCATCCCCTCCGATTCTCTGATATACCCCAATCAGACAAGGTCTAAGGCGGATGCAAACTGCAAAGAGAGGGATTAATTTTGGGGTGTTGAGGCTATCTCATGATAAGTTAATTATAAATACATGATAATAGGAATAAATGATAACCACATAGTCTGTGGCCAGCGAACATATAAAAGGATGGATGCATACCCTCTAGCATTGCAAAGTGAATCAATTTCATCAATGAATATTGTGCTGGGAGCATAGGCACGAGCAAGGTCGAACAAACACCGAACCATACGCTCACTTTCTCCACGCCATTTTGAAGCCAATGTGGCAGAAGAAACGTTAAAAAATGTTGTCCCACACTCAGTTGCAACTGCTTTTGCTAAAAGAGTCTTCCCTGTGCCAGGTGGACCGAACATAAGAACACCTTTCCATGGTCTCCTTATTCCCTGTCAAGAAATATGTCAACACAATGGTTTGTTAAACACTTAAACCACTCCATAGTCTATACACATCTCTCTCAATGCACTTTGATGATTCATCAAGTTTATCTACATTCATTTTCAATCAAGATTCACTGAAGATTTCAAATAAGCATTCAAGTATTTAAAACGAATATTTTGTGTTTTGGTTTCAGTCTTTTCATCCATTATTCACATTTTAGGCTTTCTTTGATATGGTGATAAAAAAAGATGGAGAGGGAAGTAGGTAGGGAAGAAAAGAAAAAATAGAATTAGAAATATGTGAGAATGGCTAGAAAATAATAGTGGTATTCACTTTCAAGTTTTCAATTTTAGGTGTGGAACCGAGTCCTTGATTTTCCCTTATTTTAGCATGCAAATGCTTATATGTGGGCTGTACATTTTGTTTTTAAACCTACTTCAACTCTGCTTTTCTCCACTACATATGCTCCTCTCTCCATTTACCCTCTAACAAACACACCATTAGATTAAGTAAGCACTCTAAACAGCATTGAAAAGTTTTACTAAAACTTCAATTAATACCTGGAAGTATTCAGGCATCCATAATGGGAGAACCACAGCCTCCTCTAGAAGTCTTTTTGCCTCGCTTAACCCAGCAACATCATCCCATCTCACACCGGGGCTTGTTTCCAAAACATCTCTCTCAAGCATAGCTGCCAAGTCTGGATCAGGACCTTCATATTCCACCTTTTTAGCCTTCCCATCTTCACCCTCACCATTCTGCAATGAATGTAATAAGTAAAAGTCTGAATTCATAGAAGACAAGGTTATATTTCATCTTAGTCTGTTGGGAAGAAGTGATTTAAGGGGGGAAAAAGGATGAGAGAATTGGGAAAGAAACAAAGACTTTCCCTTGTTTGGTAAGAAAATAAAATGAGAAAAAATGGTGAAAGGCAAAAGTGACCCCCTTTGGTTCTCCAAAACCCTCCATAGAAACAAGCCTAAAAAACTTTCGACAACACTACACATGCAAACTCTTTCGACAACACTACGCATGCAAACTCTTGGGAAATTATGCTTCAAGCATACCAGAGCAGAATTTCAAAATAACTTACAGGTGATTCAACTTTTGCAGACTTCCCATTCCCTTTCTTTGTTGTTGTTGTTGTTGATGTTCGAGTCCCCGTGCTAGCCTTAACAGATCCAGGCTTTCCCCCTCGACCAGGGGTTCCTGTTCTGGTAGGAGTGGAAGAGCTGCGTGCCCAAGCACCATCTTGAGGAGACTTTCTCATACCTGCTAAAGTATAGAAAATAGTAATAATCCTGGTTTTGTTGTTTTTTGATATTTCCTATTCTCATTAGATTAGTGTTTTAAGTGTCCTATCTGTAATAGGTTTAAGCCCATAATTTCTCTACATGAGCATTGTAAAGGTCTTGAAAGTTATGAAGCTTTAAGTTAATAGCCATAAGCCATATCAGTTAAAGGAATTTATTATTCAATACCAACATCACCTGCTCTTGATGGCTTTCTAGATGCGCTGTCTCGACTTGGTGGAGGTCTCCAAACATCAGGATCATCCATTGGAACACTAGATGGAGTAGGGTATTCATCCAGTGGTTGGAAGAGAAATGATGACGCCGATTTACTCGAAATTGGAGGAGACAAAGGGCGTCTACCAGCGGGGCCGTCTTTCAAAGACCTCTTCTCCACATCCAGCTGTTTAACCACTTCTGTTTCTTGAAGTATTGCTTTCTTTACATTCATCCACTTTGATCGAAGCAAAGGATCATCAACTGTGTTAACATGCCTACATTTCAACCGTAATTAATCAACTTGACAATTTAGTTTAGACTGATTCCCCCAAATTCCCAATCAGATAAAGTAACCATCACAAGTTCAGAACTTATATGACTTTACCCTCAAATTCTGCCTAATGGGAAGAAAACAACATTTGGTAGTAAGAGAATGAAACCTTGCTTCTATTGCATCCCCTTTCTAACAACTCACGATTGTTTTTCTACTTATATGCATAAATAGTATATATCGTATGGAATATATGTTGAAATGAACAAATCTCTTCATTTAGAACAATCTGCATTTCATCGGAAATCACCTCTTCACCCTGTACTGGTAGAGGTAAGATCTGCACAATCCCTACCCTCTCTAGACCCCACTTATGGAAACACATTGGGTTTGTTGTTGTTGGTGTTGTATTAATCTTCATTTAGTTTATACCCTCAAAAGTATCGAGATGTCCAAAAAGTTAACATGAACAACAGTTTGCAGAAATGCATTTTAAAACCAGTGAATTGTGTAGAGTACAAATTTAGGATTCCTCTATGTTCTGCTAAATCCACCACTCAAGCAGCTCAGTTCTTGCATTTTCATGCATAAACGCACAAAGATCTTTTACTTCTAAACACATCTCGTTCATATAACCGCACAAATCTGCAATCCCAGAGATGATAAAAAATAGTTGCAAAATGAAATCTTCGCATCGATTCAAGTTACCGACGCAGAAAACAATCATATTCATATGAATAAATAAATAAATAGGAAGAAACAAATAAGTAGAGGAAGAGATTATACTTGTTGATCTGAGCAACGGCGCCATCGAAGAAGATAACAGCGGTGTCGTAAAGGCCTTCAATGGCGTATTCTCTCGCAAGTTTCAAATGATCCTTCAATCCAGCTAGCGAAGTGCTCCCCATCGGCGCCACAACTCAATCTGTCCGACCAAAGCTCCCAAATCAGAAGAGTCTGTAATGCAATGAAGCTTTTTCGGAGATCAATTTGACAGTGGAGAGGAGAAGGGGAGGCCTGGTCTCCCGTGAGGCGTGAATGACCGATGAACCGAGAAGAGTGTCCCTCTCAAGAATGGTACCTTTTACCGGAATGGCTGAAGAAAAGGTTGGTATGGGAGGAGGAAAGCTCTCTTCTTTCACTCGAAGAAAAGGAAGATTAAATGAAGAAAAAATCAAAACTTAAAAACACTTGTATACCTTTTCACTCCAAAGTGCAAGCCATGTCCACACTCCAAGTCTTTGAAATAAAATGTTGGTAATGTGAGATACTTTTATTTTATTTTAAAAATTAATGATTCATATCTCTCATACTTCCAAATCTTACCCACCTTATCTCCACTCCTACCCTTCTAGTCGTTTGGCAAGAATTGGCAACAATAAATGCTATTGCCAAAGGCAAATACGGGTAGAAATTTACGATGGAAAAATCAAGACGAGAAGTCAAAATTGAACCTAAGTTAAAGGAAAGGACTAAACTAGTGTTAGACTTGTAAGTTGTGATCTTTTCTATTTTTATGTGCAAGTGATGCATTTAGAGTACATCAATTAGGTAGTTATGATCCACAATTAGTGGAGCTAATCAAAGATTATGATTAGTCATTTATGAAGCACTCCTTTTTCTACAACTCGCATGTGTTCATCTATGTTCGTCGGATTGGCATTGCTCATGAACCTAAAAACCCACGACCCAAATTATAAGGACTTCCACCTCACTTTTAAGTTGGGCTATAGCAGCTCTTCTCACCCATGTTTTTGTGATGAATGGATTAGACTAAGCATCTTGTTTCTAGATATAAATGAACTTCATATACTCCCGCATTTAGATGTTTAATTCCTTGTATATTCATCACAAGCCCTTCCAACTCAGTCCGCTTCTTGTTTTAGCAATGTAAGAAAATATAATGAAGTAATTAAGAACTAGAAATTTAGATTTTAAAATGTCGTTGAAAAGTCAAACTAACAAACTGAAAGTGTGAAGTACGTGATGAGTAATCGCGTCTCTTCCTAATATGAAATCATCATTACTCTCATTTTAAAACCATCACCATAGTTTGGAACGTCATGTCTATAGCCTTTGATGCATGGTTCGAATATGTTTTGAAATATGAAATATTTGATACCTTTACAAATATTATAATTTTATTATATATATATATCTATCTATAAATAAAGATCTTAACAATAAATATATTACATTGAAGGCTGTGAAAATTAAAATGAGAAGAATCAAAGTGTACGGGAAAGTAGTTACTCCCTCCGTCCTAAATTTAATTTTTAAGTTTAACTTTCTTGGTCAAATTTTTTAAACTTTGATCTCATATTACGAAAAAATACAAAAAATACGTTGAAAATTCAATATAACTTTAATATCAATATATTCATTTTGAAACATAGCTTTAAAATATTTTATTTTTATAATACGGAGTACGGAGTATATAATTATATATAAACAAAAATATAGGAGTAGTAGATAACTTGGCCCTATTTTCAATGGGCCGAGGTGAATTATTTTTCAATTAGGGTATGCCATGTACGGGAGTAAGACGATATACGAATATTTATGTTCAATCGAATCAGGCCCAATACTAAACCCTTTCAACCAATCTCTTCTTCCTTTTTCTCACCATAAACCCTAAGATCGAACAACTGATTTCTCTGTGTTTTTTTTCCGAGTGCGAGAGAATGGGGAGCGATAGCGAAGCAGAGAGATCGGCTCTCAAGGAGAAGAAGAAGCTCTTCGCCCTCGCCCCGATTGCCAAACCCCTCGCCGGGAAGAAACTCAGCAAGCGCACCCTCAAGCTCGTCCGGCGCGGTATGATTTTTTGTGTTTTTTTTTTTTTGAAAAAATCATAATTTGATCTGTTCTTCCATCTTTTTTTATTTAATTTTTTAAAACTTTGTTTCTGGAGCTCAGCTGCAGAGAACAAGTGTTTGAAGCGAGGCGTGAAGGAGGTGATGAAAAGCATTCGGCGTGGAAACAAAGGGTCAGTCTCCATTACTCTGGCGGATTTCAAATTGTGTTTTATTCATCTTGAAACAAATTGAGCTTCAAATTTAGACAAATCATTTTCGAAGTTTTGTTCATCCTTGAACAGACTGTTAGCCTTTTTATGTGCTGTTATTTTACTTTATCATAGCAACTGGAAACATTACATATTGCAATTGTCATGAAGACTGTCTTTTTCTTGCTCCCTCTACACAAAGTGTTTTTTCAATGTCTTGATAGGTTTGGTCCCCAATTTCCTCACTTCCAAAAAAAAAATTAATCTTTTACTCCTTAAGGGGTCCCAAAAGAGTAGGGACTGAGGAGGGTGTGTGTATGCAGATATATGAGAGAGGCTTCACTTGACAAGGAAGCAATTTCTTTTTTCTTGAAGAAATGAAGAATGAAAAATGTGGACTATTGGACACTGATTTTGAAACAAATCATTCTTTGAAAACATACTTATGTTGGAACTTTGAGGGGGAGGGGTTGGTGAGAAGGTAGATTGTGTACAATTGATCTAAAGCATTCAACTTATATTTATATGGAGTATATTGAACAAATGAGTATTTATTGTATATGTTTTGTGTGGAATTTTGTATGAAATAAAAATATTGCTTTCACCTTTTTACCCTGGGGATGCATGTACATTTAGAACTTCAACATTTTTTGTTTTGTTACAGATTTTGTGTGATTGCTGGGAACATATCTCCTATAGATGTCATTACCCATGTGCCAATCTCGTGTGAAGAAGCTGATATTCCATATGTTTATGTTTCGTCAAAAGAAGTAAGTTTTTTCCTGATCTACATCTGATATACTCCCATCTTTCCTGTAATAATAATTTTCATCATGTATTACTTTTCCAAACTCATCTTCCCATTGCCTTTTTGAAAATTTTTCACTACTTAAATTTCACTTTCACCCATCAACTACCCAAATATTGTCATTTTTCATTTTTCAATCCAAAAACCTACTCACTGCAAAATCAACTTGGGACTGAGGAATTATAGTATCATGCCCAAAGTGCAGAAAGTCAACTTGCATTCTTGCATATTTGATGAGAATCAGATTTATAAAACCGGTTAAAATGGTGGTTTCAGGATCTTGCAAATGCGGGGGCCACAAAGAGGCCTACATGCTGCGTTTTGGTGTCAACCAAGCCTAACAAGGGAGAACTCAGTGCAGAGGAGCAAGAAAAGTTGAAGGCCGAATACGACCAGGTCGTGTCAGAAGTTCGCGAGTTAACATCCTCTTTGATTTGAAACTGAATTCTTACTTTGTGCTCTGGTAGTAATGTGTGCTAGGTTACAATGTTTTTGTATGTTAAGATCTTCCTTGAATCATTGCTATTGCTTTCATGTTTGACTTTTGGTTACATATTCTGCAATGTCAATGCTAAATGTGTTGCACTTCGGATCAAATGTGGGGATGGATTTTTTCTTGGCACAATCTTCTTTTCAATGGGCAGCACCTATGTGGTTCATGTAGTTGTTTATTATGTCGAGAGATATTAGGGCACCACTGAAAAGAATGAGAAGAAAAAAAAAAGAAACTTTTATATTGCTTTAGAAGTGGTGTTTTTGATGTACACTAGTCCATAAGAATATACGAAAACTAATGCAGAGATAAATTGTAAACAATAATATGCGCTCAACGGAACCAATTTGTTTGGAAGAACCAAAGTATGGGCGCAATGACTGTGGCAACTCGATCATGGTTTTCCCCTATTTGAAAATCAGTCACATAGTTATTACTTAATGAAATGCATGATTACCAGCCACTAAACAAATTCTAAATACTAATGTTTGTAATTTAACATTTAGAAGAGTTTCTTCTATTAACCAAAGATTTCATTATGATTATTATTATTATTATTATTATTATTATTATTATTATTATTATTATTTATTATTATTTATTACTCCCTCCGTCCCACTCTCTTTGTCCACTTACCTTTTCGCACACCATCCAATGCACTTTTTTAATCCATTTTATCTTGTAATTTGTATATTAAAAAATTATAGAAATTATATATTAATAATCTATATGTTAAGACAAATTAAACAAGATTACACATGACTATATTTAGGCTTAAACATTGAGAGAATTTGATGAGTCAAAGTGCTTAGATGAACAGTTCTAAAAGTCAAAAGTGGACAAAAAGAATGGGACGGAAGCATTATTATTATTATTATTATTTATTATTATTATTATTATTATTATTATTATTATTATTATTATTATTATTATTATTATTATTGCTTAAATTAAGTGTATGTGAAAAATTGATAACACTATATGTAAAACAATGACAGAAGAAGATACTAACACAATTATGCATCAAGAAACTTTGAAAGCATCATTTTCATGGTATACAAGTATACAACTTCATTCACCCCCCACCCCACCCCCCACCAACCACTTATTTTATATAATACTTTTATTCTATCTATTTTATTTATCATTTTTTTGCTGTTAAAATGCTGTAAAAATGGTTTGGTACTGTTGACTTGCCTCTCAAAAGCAATGACAAATTTGACACAACCCCAAGAGCCAAAGAAAATCAAGAAGAAACCATTCCCCTACTCACCAGCTCTTCCAACCCCTTCCTCAACCGCTCCGACGCGGCCCTACAATCGTCCTCCTTCAGCCCCCCGAACGATACCCGAACGTGACCCGGGCAGCCGCTAGAGCTGCCCGGGATCAGCACCACCCCGTGCCTCCTCGCCAGCCACCGGACCACCTCAAAGTCGTCGACGTGTTCTTCCGGAAGCTTCGCCCACAGGTAGATCGCGCCCTCCCCCCCTTTGACCGCGTCCCCGCCCAGAGGGGACAGGGCTTCCGTGAGTAGAGCCCGGCTCTTCGCGAGGTCTTTGACCCGGTCGGTCACCCACGCGGGCCCCACTTCGAGGGCGTGGAGCGCCAGCCGCTGGGAGATTATGGAGGCGCATATCGGTATGTTGTCTTGGACTTTGAGGAGTTGCTCTGCTAGTCCTTCCACTTTTGAAGGGTATGCTATCTGCATTCATGAACTCATGAAGATAAAAGGAGAATGATGGGTATATGATTAAACTACAATGGGATTCATTTTAGAGAAAATGACACTATTGCCCTCGAGTTATACCCGCGCTACCAGTTCTATGCGATATTTTGTCATGTGAGAGCCTCGAGGACGGGGTGGGGGGGGGGGGCTCGGAGCCCTAACAACATCAGGCCCAGTAAAAGGTACTCCATCTTCAACTTGTAACGAAAAGGTACCCCATCTTTAAAAAGTGTAACAACATCAAGCCCAGTAAAATCCCATAAAATGAAAGATCTCATCCCTACCATGAAATAGAGCCTGTTTCTAGGAGACCCCGACTTAAAAACAAAAATAAAGAGGCCTAAAAATGTCATTATCGTTCGTTTTAGCGAGAACCCACGAGGTAAATTAGTAAAATGACTAAATTGCCCTCCCGTGTTTCTTTAATACTCCTTAGAAACCTCCGGGGGAAAAATCAAGAAGGGCATGTTTGTCGACAATCACTTTTTTGAAGTTTTGTTTGGATGAGATTTATGGGAAGCAGTCACTTACATATCCAACCCGCCATCCCATCATCCCATAGGCTTTAGAGAAGGAAAATATGTTGGCAACGTGGTCGTCCTCGACGCAAACATGTTTCCGACCATCATACATAAAATACCTGAAGACAATACAAGATGAGCTAACAATTATTCAGCAGAAACATTCTTTGAGGAAGCCATGAATTTATTGTGTTAAGAAGTTTTACACAACTAATTGACACCAAAGCTCCCTTCGTTTCCAAGAAAACATAGTTTAAAAAAAATATGTTTTCTTGAAAACCCATAGTTGTATAACATTTGACCCGCAATAAAATACTCCCACCGTCCCCCCATAAAGATAAGGACAGTTTGACTAAAGTGGTAAAATAAGCAGTGATAATTTTCCGGACTTTCCAAAAATACCCTTGATGTGATAGGTAAAAGTAGTATGTGATGTGTAGATTATTAGGAAAAAGGTATGATGTGATAGGTAGGATATGAAAAAGTAAGGGGTAAAAGTGGTTTTTTAATAGAAATGAGAATGACTTTTGGGGACACAATTTTTTTGAAGCGTGAAGGACTTTATGGGACGGAGGGAGTAGAAAACATAAAATTACTTCAAGAAAACGACTCAAAGAATTGAGAATTTTTTCAAAGACTTGAAGATATTGTCAACCGCTTCTTCGCAGCCGACACTTACTCATAAGTATTGTCAACCAAAAGCCAGCAGCCCGCTTCTTTGCATAGACTTGATATCCGCTGCACATCAAAAACATTTAAAAAAAATCTAAAATATATAAGTCACACTAGCATAAACAACAGAGTAAGGCCCAAAGGCGTATCCAACTACTCTAATCCTAGATCTCCAGGAGGGTGGGGTAACCGAAAAATCCCCCCCCCCCCCCCACCCCTCCTCCAACCAAACATACCCTTTGGGACCTAGAAAGAATGAGGCTGACTAACCTTGAGAAGAGGCTCCGGGATGTAGGTACCGGAAGGATTGCCTGGATTTACAACCGTTACAAGCTTAGGAATTGGTACAGTATTCTTCAGAGTCATCTCTAACCAATCTGAGAGATGAGAATAGAGAAATCCCATTGGATGGTGTACAATTATACTCCCTTTGTGCCAAACAAAGGATGTCTTGTTCACTATTCAAAAAGACATAGTATGACCTCTTTCTTTGGCTATTTTCATTAATCATTTGGTAAAATAATATAGTCATGCCACCTCTTACTTTGTAGCCTTTTTATTTAGTTTTTAGGTGTATATACATTTTATTTTCTTAACATTACACAAATTTCAAAATAAATTGTATTGGAAATAGTTTGAGTCAATCATCATAACCCACAACACAAAAGTCTTTTTGGGACGGAAGGGATAAAAAGTAACAAAAGTTTAAGGTTAAAATACTTAAAAGATGTATTTTTTTTTAATCTTGATGCCACAAACCTGCATCGGGATGAAGAGTTTCTGGATGACTGGGGCCCACAAGAATGTCGGTGACACCGGTCATCTGGAACGACATGTATGCGTTGAAGTAGTATGGTGCAAACATAACAACCGAATCCCCAGAATCGCACAACGTGAGGACAAGATTCACAAAGGCCTGCAATAATAATATTAATTGGAACAATAATAATAATAATAATAATAATAATAATAATTATAATAATTATAATAATTATAATAATTATAATATAACAACACAGTATAATCAACTTTGTTTGGGTCTGGGGGTTAAGAGGTATGTAGTCTTATCCCTGTAAAAACAAAGAGGTAGTTTACATTAGATCCTAGATGTATTGCTACATTTACTGCCCAAAACATCATTAAAAAAGAAACATGGGGAGCTGAATGTGCCATTTTGACTTAATCCATTATGTGCCCAAAACTAAAACATTGTCAACAATGACCATCGGCAATGGACTGACTCTTTTAATAATAAAATAATAATACGTTGTGAAATACCTGATTAGCACCAGCAGTAACCATCACAGAGGATTTATGTAAGTTGTTTTCTGCTTGCAGCTGAAAGTACATAATGAAGAAGTGAGGATAAAAACATCCAACTAAAATATCGAATAGCAGCATAAAAGACAACGTCGAATCACAAATTAAGAACCAACCCAAAAACTATTATGGTCATGTTTCATAATCAACTGTTACAGTTGGGAAAAATGCAATAAGCTAAGGGTCCGTTTGGAAATATAAAATGGAAATAGTTTTCCTTCAGACAAGGCTCATTTTCCACTGACTTCAAAAATCATTTTCCATTGACTCCTATTCTCTAGAACAGCCAAATACGAAAAATGGGAAAATGACTTCCGGGAATCATTTCTCCCCTTCCAAAATGGGACCCTAAGTGAAAAGTGAAAACCCTGTTCATATTAGCTCTACTCATTCACGGCCACCTTCGGCTATTTCCCCAAACAAGATTTTTAAGTACTCAATAAGTTGACCCAGCCTAAATGGTTGACACAGAAAAAGAAAATCAACCTGTGGATACTAATACTAAAACTTAGAACTGATTAAGAATGTATACCTTCTTCACCAATGCCTCTCGGAGCTCAGGAAGGCCTTCATCAGCACCATAACGACTGATTGAAGGCTCCCAAACAAGATCTTTTGTCTTATCCAATGCTTGTTTGGGTGGTTGCCAGTATACAACGCCCTGCATGAAACCATACTAAGATTGATAAGGTATCCGAACAAACAAATCCACTGTGATATCGGAAGACTATGTCATTATGCCATAGGTATGATGAAACCAAATTACTTTTACATATCCGCATATATATATGGAGAAAAATATTTCCTGACACTTAATAGTGTGTATCTATACCTATTTTAACCTCGGAAAGATTAGAGCTCTGTTTGGTAGCCTAACCTGGTGTATTATGCTTATCATAGTATAAGTGCAATAAAAAGACTTGTTTGGCATTTGGCTGAAAGAAATGTTGCCAAACACTTCTCCTATAAAAAACCTTGGCAAATTCATCCATCTCATCTAAATAACTAACCGAAAACACTATAATTGCACACAACAAACCACCCATTGGCTCGTCCTTTCAACATTACCTCTCCAAACAAAGATTCATAGCGAGAGTGTGTAATTGCATTTTTGGGAGCCAAAATTTACTCATTTGGCTGCTTACTAAGGTGAAATAGCTTTTGACTTGGTTATTTGGCTAAAATGTACTCTGTATGTTACTAAACGCATTCCTTTCCAAAAAATTTCAAGTGGGGTAAGGTCTGCGTACACATACCCACACACCCTCCCCAGACTCTACTTTTGTGAGATTTTACAGGGTTCGTTTTTTTTGTACCCACTACGAAACGAGGTCGAATATTCACTAGAAGAGTTGATGAATTACAGGAAGCAAACCATATATGGCAAAATGTAATACTGCATCTCATTCTCTTGTTGAGGAAAAAAGAAGTCACTTAATATGGCTAAAACACTTAAACCTCAGATGTTCACCAAAAAGAACACAAAAGCAAGTAACAAAGCATATAAATTGGAGAAAGCAAAGAAACCTGAGCCAGAGATATACAATCTTTAACACCTCGGATCAGCTCCTGTATCTGCAAATCACAATCACAGAGTGCCAAAAATGCCCCCCAACATTACAAGAATCACTCACAAACCATAAAACACAAGTAAATCATATCCATTCCAAGGGAAATTGAGGAAATTTAAGAGCTTTTTACCTGTACCATAACAGGTGTCTCTGTTAGCACAGCTCTTCTTGCTAGCATTCCAAATGATCCCATCTCTCACTCACTCTCTCTCTCTCTCTTTCGCTCTATCAATCTGTCCAAAAAAGAAAAATTCAACCCAGAAAATAAAAATTTGGACTTTAAGAAAATCTCATAAAGTTCCAACCTTTTTAAATTGGGAAATAATATTTCAACTTTCAAGAATTAGAACATGTGAATATGTATTTCTTTTTAATTAAAAGTTGACTACTTTTGTTTCAAAAAATCGCAGAGAATCGACATAAAATTAAAGGGGAACTGGGAAAAATTGGAGTACCTGATCCAGGAAAGTGGACTGGAAGAGACAAACTTATAAAGCTAAATTAAAATCGCAAATAATGGAAAGGGTCATGCTACACTTACCCCACAGATTGTATCCCATTTGTATCCCGCAGTTATACACAAACATTTTAATGGTTTACAAAATGTATACGGACACAAAGTATTGGTGCATTACCAAAAATTAGTTTTAGTACATGGGAGTACTTTTAGTACATGGCGCATCATCAAAAAAAATGCTAGGGGTACACCAAATGTGTACCCCAAATATTCCTCACCCCTCCTTGTCCACATAAATTGGCAAGAATTTTAATAACGTAAATTAATTTTGAAAATCCTTAAATTAAATGTTACGGAGTATCATTCAAAAGGTTTATTTGGAAATAACATTAGAGGTTTGTGTTAAGATTTTGAAAAGGTTATCTACGAGCACCATTTAGCGTTTCAAAACTTTTTAATCTAAAATGCTTAAGTCAATAGAAAATATTAACTTTTTAATCTAAAATGCTTAAGTCAATCGAAAATATTATTTTCAAAGGGGCCTAAACTCTAACTTTAATATTTAGGGTTGTTGTCAAAGAGACTATTAATATTCTATTTTTTTGGGTTCTTTCTTTACTCCATATTTTAAGCATTTTCTAGTAGTTTGACCGAAATGTCCCCACGGGCAGTAGTCTACACTGGCGTTTGTTTGGTGTGGTTGGTCTAATTGGTGGTGGGACTGGTGGGTATGGGTTGTTAGCACTGGACATAAGAGGCTTATAAGACATTTCACATTTTTGGTGAGAAATGTGGCAGAGTGTATGTCAAAGTGACAATACATTTCTTTTTCTTAATTTAGGGCATTATTAGAATCTGAATTTTTTTTATTGTAAAAATTGTTGTTTGTTTGTCGTAAATTGAGAAAGATATTTGAAATTCGTATGGGCATGAGATGTAGCTCAATTGGTTAATAGAAGTATAAAAAGGATAATGTTCGGATTCTATCCATAAAACAGCAAGGAGTTGCATGGTCACTTTTATATTACATTTATTTCACGTCTTTCAAGATATATCAAAATATTTCGATTAGACATAACGTAAGTATCCAAAACACGTATGTAAGTTATGTCTTTTTCACTCCGTACGAGTCTCTTAACAACTAGGCTTTTTTACCGACTGTAATTTTTTACTATATACGAAGTAATTTTTTTTAACTTTAACCAATATTTCAACATGGATAATTTTTTGTTGGAACAGAAGGAATTATGTACTCGTAATTGTTTATGCTACTATCGGGAAAATTGGTGCCCCTTAGAATTCTAGTTGGAAAAGGAGATTTTATAATCAAACTTGAATTTGTTGTTTTAGCTATAACTAATAAAGAGACTATAGTTGTTAAGAAACTTAGCATATAAAATTCCATACCCGTTTTCCAAAATTTTGGTTTTCTTAAACTGAGCGGTAAAAACAATTTTCTAAATTATTATAAAGTTTAGAAAATATTTTTATGCTTTTTTATAAATTAATAGACTAATAATGTTTTCGAATAAATAGTACTTTTATTTTATGTAATGGACCAAAATTGTAATTATCACGGAGTATTATTTTTTCAATTTGGAGAATTTAATGTAAGAGTGGTATTGGAATTATTGTTTTATTTAATTTACAACTATAACAATAACGTGTTTGGAAAATAATAATCAATTTATTTTATATGATTGACAAAATTTTTACTCCATAAATTTTTATTTAGAAAATATATTGGACTAATGGAGTAATGGTATTTTAATTTTTTTTGTTTATTATGTTTGGTTTTTCGGTAAAACCAATTACCAAACCGAAGCATATTTTACCAACCGAAATAATTTGATTCGATACTCGGTACATAAAATATTTTATCAAAATATTGGTTTACTGAAATTCCGGTTCAGTTTTTTTTAATCTAATTGATGCAAACCAAACAGACCTTAACCAGGCACCTGCAATGGCATTGCCGAAGCCATCGCTGCCGACGTTAAACTCCGTTTAGCCTTCTCCCCATTGATGTATTTACGATCACTCGCACTACTTTAACGCCGTCTCTAGTCGTCTTCCTCAAGGTAAATTTCACTGTAGTATTTTATGGATTATTGAAGCAAATTTTTATGGGGTTTCTGTTTCATTTTGTTTCAATAAATTTCTAGCCAGTTTGATGGGATTTTTGTTTGTCGCGAGTTTTTTTTTTAAACTATATTTTTACAGCACAGATAATCCTGGTTTGGCCTCCATATTTTGGCTGGCAATAATTATTAGCTGAATTAAGAACTTTTAATTAGTGAAAACACAAGCTTAGAAAGAAAGGGAATTTGTGAAATTGTCATTTATTTTTACCAATAAATGAGTTTCATTTGTCATCTCAAGCTGCATTACCCAATGTTCTTCATAAAGATTGGGTTTTTACAGTAATGAATCTAGTGATAATCTTTGATATGGGCTTGTTTTTCCCAGGGAAAACTGTGAAGCACATTGCTCCTGAAAACAGAAGATTCATAATTTCATATATCCCAAAGTGGTAGTAGTGTACATTTTAGCTGAATTAAAAACTTAATTAGAGCCTCAAGTTCAAACATGGGTGAGGCCGGATCAAGAACTCTCTCATATAGATTTGTGACTCCCGAGTCCGGTTCGTTTTAATAACAAGGGTCGGTATCACAATATGACACCGGTCCATTAGAAGACCTTACGGTGCGCCTTGCGGTCTGGAATTAGTTCCTACCCCCTAACCCCTCACACAAACCCCTTCCTTCTACTCGAAAATAAAGAGGCTGTTTCCAGAAGGCATCCGGTTCAAATAGAGAAACACTGATCATATTAGAAAGAACAAAGTAAGAGAACAGAGACATGAAACACACATACATACACTAGCAATCAGACCAAAGCACATATAGCACACTACATGTTAAGGTAAAAACACACACGCATAAAGCCATAAACTACAAAATAAGGCCCAAAGGTGTACCCAACTACTCTAATATTAGACCTTCAGACGTTTCCTATCTAAGCTCATATCTTTGGTAAACAACAACAACCCAGTTAAATCCCACAAGAGTAGGGTCTGGGGAGGGTGTGTGTACGCAGACCTTGCCCCTACTCGAAAGTAGAGAGGCTGTTTCCAAAGAGACCCCCGGCTCAACGTCGAAAGTTGCATTGCTTGACTAACTGCTACTTCATTAATTAAAGAAGCGCAGACAGTTTAGAGATCCATTTTGATTTATTCCATCACACCCCAAAGCCAAAAAATGGTGAAATTTTGGCTCCATTAGAGATGATGGAAAAAAAGCTCATATCTTTGGTAAGATCCCGAATTCGTAAGCCCTATCTAATCACCTTCTTCTAACTACTCCTAGGTCTTCCTCTGCCCCTTCTCACGCCCACAACCGCAAGCCTCTTTCATCTCCACAATGGGGCCTTCTCTGCACTTCAATTTGTACATTTGTGATTTGTCTATTCATATAGTTGTCTGGTGCAGGATGACTTAAGGCTCGTTTATCGGCTATGTTGAGGCACTAGATATTTGTGGAAGTAAGATCGTTCTCACCACCACAAAGATTCTGTTTCAAACTGAAGGAAACAGTGTTCAAAATTCATGGAAGTTGCATCCATGAATGACCTTTTTGATTTCATATGTTCCGGTCCCCTAGTGAATAAAACCGGTCTGAGCTCAGAAGCCGTGGCCAAGTCCATTGATAAGTGGTTGGAGTATGGATCAATATTGTGCAGACTGTTTCACTTCAACCACCTGAATCTTACCCTTCCGCAGAAAGTTAGAATCTTTCACTATTATATCCCTGTGTTCTTGTGGTGCGAGAAGGAAATATCAGACCATTGTTCAAAGTTCAAAGGCAAAGAAGAAACTCCTCCTTTAGTGGTAACTATTCTTTTATCATTTTTCTGCTCGTTTCTTTTTGCGTCTCCGTGCTCTTACTTTGTACATGCTACTGTGTTTGCTTTGTGTGTGTGTCTATGTGTTTGAACCTGGGGTCTCTTGGAAATAGCATCTCTACTTCCGGATAGGGATAAGGTCCCGTACACACATCACACACCCTACTTTGCTTACTGGGTTTGTTGTTGTTGTTGTTGTTGTTGTTGTTCTTCTTCTTCTTCTTTTCAGTTTCCACAGCTCCACAGGCATGAAAATATCTTATCTTGCGTTTGGTTTGCAGATTGGGTTTAGTGCACCACAAGGATGTGGAAAGACAACACTTGTTTTTGCGCTAGACTATCTTTTCCTTGTGAGTGGGAGGTACGTTAAGTAGTTCTTTTTTCAAATCAGTGACTTTTAAAGAACTCTCTACTTCCGAGTAGGGGTAAGGTCTGCACACAGACCCTCTATAAACCCTATTTTCTTTGGGATTTTATTGGGTTTGTTGTTGTTGTGACATTTATGGTATTATGAATAAATGAGAATATCTGTTATGCATTGAATATCAGAAAATCAGCTACGTTGTCCATTGATGATTTCTATTTGACGGCTGAAGATCAGGTCATTATAGAGCATTTGTCTTTTAACTTGTGTTTTCATAGACTATATTTTTCTTACAATATGAATGGACTGGAATTGTTGATATGGCGCCTAAAATAGCTTAGTTATCTGATCCAAGGCTATATGCTTATCATCATCGCTCCAAGAAATCATTTTACACGAATATTCCTATATAATATGATTAACACCAAGACTCCCATAAATTCAATACCCATATTTTTAGAATAATGCGTGTAGAGAATTTTTATGCTAAATGGATCCCCTGGTTTTTGAGGTGTATGTATGATCAATATGCAATCTTGGAGTATTATTGTAAACGAGTTTTTGGAAGTGCGGGTGATAATTATTTAATCGTGGACTATTCTTGTAAAATAATTAAATTTTGGGAGTAATGGCATGAAATTTTCCGCATTTTTATTCAACAAAAAGTAAATAAATTCTGCACAACTTTTTACGGAGTATATACTATCACCTCACGTTGAGCTAATGGAATCAAATGAGTCAAGTTTTTTTTGGTAATTTACTTATCATTAGAATAAACAAAATATGTAGGTTTTGACTTACTCATTTTGTGGAAAATGAATGATTTTTTTAATAAATAAAAGTGAATAAATTGTAAAAGATGATGGTAAAAGTATGGAGTATTATTTATGTCAGTTTTAGTAATCCATTTGAAAAACAAAATTTGCCCTATTTATTTAAGGGATTTTTTGGTAGAAAATTTGGCTAGTTGATAAGGTTGGAAAGCCAATAAGTGAAGTTTCCGAACGAAGTCGTACGAGTCATCTCAGCCTTGATGCATCCATTGTATTTTGTTTTAGGCCAAGCTAAGGGAAAGCAATCTTGGGAATTTGCTATTAGAGGTAACATTTAACTCATTCCGTTTGGCACTAGAGGTGGACACAGCCGGTTCTAGTTCCAGAATTGGCAATTATCAGTAACTGGAATCGGGTTGGGGGGTCGGTTCCGATTCTATCAACTTCATTTTATTATTTCATTTATAATTTTTCAGAAAAAAATGTAAAAACGGCGAGTGAATGAGTGTTAAGAATGACATACATTTAAATGTTCAAATGTATTGGAATTTAAAAAAAAAGAAACCAGAATGACGGTTTCTGGCACCTTCTGTTTCTAGAACTACAATGTTAGGACCGGATTGCCCCCTTTCCCACTGCAGTTCCCGGTCCGGTTCCCTGTCCCCCAACCGGTACCGGTTCTATTACTGGTTCCAAACAAGAACGGCGTCCATCCCTAGTTCCCTACTTGATAGTGCCACAAACTTATCTGGTCATGAAAATGATGGTGGACGCTTTCTCCTCAGTTTCGTGGGAATGCGGGAAGCCATGATCTTCCATTCTCTGTTGAGACTTTGACGGCTCTAACCAAATTGACTAGACAAGGTGAAGTCTTTATTTTTTGTTCTATAATTTTAGAAATACATATTGGGGACACCAAGCTTCTTGCATTGGGGTGCCTTTTGTGTATAAAAAAGGGTACTTTGTGTGCTATCTATTTGACTTTGGTCAAACAAGTACAAGAATTGTTTGTTAAAGCTTGCTCTAAAAAAATTCTTGTCAAGGTTTTTGGTTCAAAGCTTTTCTGGTCCCATTTGTTTATATAAAATACCTCAAACAGATGATACAATTAAGAAACCAAGTCAACCACAAGCTCAAGTCCGTGTTTGAAAGCCCGAAAATATTTTTATACTCTT